ATATTAATTTTCAGTTTCACTAGACTAATGTAATTAGTTCATCTCTCTAGTAATAAAAGTCACCATCTTCAATCTCTGTGTATTTGGATCTGAACAATTAAAGTTTGGATTTTTATATACAAAGTGGTTAAACTCCAGTGTATCTTCACAAGTACGTGTGACTACGTAAAAATATCTGACTCGAAGAGAAATAAAAGTGTGAGAGATGAAGGGAGGCTTGTCAAGGTTTTCAACATTTTATCACCATGTCAACTTTTTCTTATAGCTCTTATAGATAGAAAATGAAAGGAAGGGGTATGAATCATGGTATTTAACAGATGAAGGAAGGGCCTCATTTACAATGAGACACAAGGAAACGTAAACAATTGACGAGCTATGATGAAATGTAAAGATTTAACGCGTCAAAGTGAAAAATGTAAAAATTTAATTAAACATTGTGAACATTATATAGATTCTATCAATTTAAAAAATAATGAGAAAAAACACTCAGTTTGACTCATCTACAAGGAACGTGTTATAAATATATCCTCCAATATTAGAAAGGACACTTAATCACGTACGTATTTGGAGTTTGTAGAAATTGGGACAAAGTTCATAAGTTGGGTAGCAAATTGTCAAATGGAAAAAAGCTGCGTAGGGCATACGTGCAGGTCAAGGAAGGCAGTCCAAAAGTTGACTTGGTTGACGATTTTTGTATTTGTGGGAAAAGACATGCTATTTCTCTTTCTTTCGGTGCATCTAAAGAGAAATCAGAAGCATCAGCAATGACCATAACAATGACATACACGTAGTACACAACGAAATTCTTATCTCACACACTATACCACACTGTGGGTTTGATGCTAAGTACCTGTAATGTCTATTTTATATTTGTTTCGTTCGACTGTATGAATTTTAAAATGTTACTATTTTAATTTTGCGTTATATTGTATGCATGTCAATAGATGTCAACAACTTTCGAGCGAGCATATGTCGATTGATGTCAATATTTTTTAGCGAACATCGTGACAGATGCCTGCATATGCTAATTGAGCCTATTGACATATGCGCATATCAATACATACAAAGGCATAACGCTAGCAGCTACCCTACCCCAGACCTTGAGTGGCAATTCGTCGAGCAATTAGAGGACAGCTTTCAAGGACATGTGGACAAAAATTTACACTTGTCTTTATCTCCCACTCTCTGGTTTCCTCGTTCAGATATCCGGATGCAGGTAAAGGGCGGGGCTGGAGACACAGGTAGGAGATAGAGTAGGGTTTCATGGAAATTTTCAATTTCCCGATATGAATAAACCCATCAACATTTAACCAAATCTCAAATGGAACTTTGGTATGAGAGGCAGGAGGAGGGCTTCACTGAAATTTTATTAATTTTCAGTTTCACAGACTAATATAATTAGTTTCTCTCTCTAATTGTTACAACATTTAATAAAAGTCACCATCTTCAATCTTTGTGTATTTGAATCTGAACAATTAAAGTTTGGATTTTTATATACAAAGTGGTGAAATTCCATTGGATTTCCACAAGCACATGTGACTCTGTCAAAAATCTGACTCGAAGATAAATAAAAGTGTGAGAGATATGAAGGGAGGCTTGTCAAGGTTGTAACATTTCTCTCCATGTTAGCTTTCTCTTATAGCTCTTGTAAACAGAAAATGAAAGTAAAGAAACTGCTCTGCAACGAGACACAAGGAAACGCAAGGATTTGACGAATGACGAGTTATGAAGAAACAATAAGATTTAATGCGTCAGGGTGAAACGTAGAGATTTAAAATTTCTAAAATACTCCTTATAATTAAGGAGTCGAATATGTGCTCCAACGTTAGAAAGGATAGTTAATCACGTACGTGTTTGGAGGGTTTGTAGAAATTTGGGACAAAGTTAATAAGTTAGGTTGCAAATTTTCAAATGGAAAACAGCTTGTCGGGCATGCGTGCATGTCAGGGAAGGCAGTCCAAAAGTTGACTTGGTTGACGGTTTTTGTCTTTGTGGAAAGACCTGCGGTTCTCTTTCTTTCTGTGCATCCAAAGAGAAAGCACAGAAGCATCAGCAATGACCATAACAATGACGAACACGTAGTAAACACGAATTTTTATCTCACACACTATACCACACCGTGGTTTACCTGTACTGTGTATATTATATTTATTTTGTTCAGGCGGTATAAATCTTAAAATGTTACTGCTTTCGGTTTTACATCAAATCTTCCATTAGCTCTATATACTTCAAGTTTTCTATTTAGTTCAACAATTATCTTTTATAAGTACTTTATATATGAAAAATGAAAAAACATTTACATAAAACAGGCGTATATAATATCATTACAAATACATAAGAATTTAAAAAGTACGCAATACAATATCTGAAAGAAAAAATCAATTGAACTTATGAAATTTACTTTTGAAATTATAGAAATCATGAATTAGTGAAGTGGGATTTAGAGGACAAAAGAAAGGGATATCAACTCATCACGGATTGTAATATGCGAGCCATATATTTTTTTTGTTTTGTACACGTTAGTAAACTCATTCTTGATTGAAGTAATATTTTAGAAAACACATGAGAAGTGAAGAATTAGAATAATTTCGTACCGTTCTAAGTAAATAAACATGTCAAAAATTAATTAGAAAAAAATAGTTAATCGCATTCTCAATCCCTCTCTTCCATATTTCTTATATCTTGTATTCATAATTTCCCTATTTCAATTGAATCCGGCATCAATTACGGTTATTATAATTTACTATTTCTCTAGTTTCCTTGCATTTTTTTATTAAAAGAAACCAATTGATGACGAAGCCACACGACAATTTACTCTTTCAAGACTCAGAAAAAATTTACTGAAGTATTTCAACATTTGAACATAAGCCTCCCGTATGAAGAAGAATTACCATAGAAAATTCCTAAATTTTATTTCTTGTCATAAACAAACAAAGGGAAGGAAGTGGGTAGACCCCATTAACTGTACTGCTTGTACTGCTTGCTTGGCCTTCCATGTGACTGAAACCCTGGCTTAGTTTTATTCATCTTATTTATACACTGCTTTGCTTCTCCTTCCCTTTTTTCTCAGAACACACACTCACCACCCAAAAGCCAAAAGCCAAAAGCCAAATAGAGAAGAGAACCCATCAAGCAGATGAAGAATAACCAAAACTTTCTCATATTTTCTCTCTTTGTTTTTCTTCTTCTCTTCAGCTCATCATCTGCTCGTGGTCGTCTTCTGCAACAAAACAAAGCTTCACTAACTGGAGCCGATGATTTTGCAAATGTAAGATAATAAATATATATCCCTCCCTCACCTGTTTTAATCTAGCCATGATTTTTTTTTTTGCGTTTTCGCTAGTTAATTATTATATTTTGATGTTCTTCTTTGATTAATTGTTTGTTGGGTTCGTGGTAATTTTCTTTTTAATTTTCCACAGCTGATGGGAGCAGAAGAATGTGATGAAAATGATGAAGAGTGTCTGCAGAGAAGGATGATTGCTGAAGCTCACTTGGATTATATTTACACCCAAAACCATAAGCCATAGACTTTGGATTTTCGCATCAAAGTTGTATAAGAAATAAGATGGATTTTCGCATAAAAGTTGTGTATAAGAAATAGTTGTTTATTTTTTTGTGTAAGAAAATATAGACTTATTTAGATGTGCTTTTAAAATGACTGAAAGTGCTTTTAAAGGAAATTGTTTTAGGTTCCAAAAACACTTGAAGTGTTTTCTGCAAAAACCATCATTTATGTGCTTTTTCAAGAAGCATTTTAAGTACTTTTTCAGGATTCACTTGCATATTTACTAAAAATTGGTTCTAAAAATATTTTCATCCAAAAGCATTTTCAGTCATTTTAAAAGCACATCCAAACAAGCTCTATAGTATCAAAGTTGCCATTTACTATTTCTTCCTTCATTATTGTGATAATTATTACGTCAATAAGTAATATCCGCACTTTATTTTTTTCATAGACACTTTTTTTATATTTTAAGCATAGAGGATTAAAACAGAAGTACGAAAATGTTAACGAAAGATCATAATTAAAAGTAGAAACAATTTTGGGAGCAAAATCCTTACCATTGAAATTTTTTTATAATTAATTTAGGATCACATTCTCAGAAAGAGGAATTCATGACGTTAAATAATTGAGCAAATAATAATACTGAATTATTGAGAGAGAGAATCATTCAAAGTGGGATGAGGGATGTAAGAAAGTGCATGTGGAATAAGAAAAACGTCTTCATCATTCATGCATGTGGTGGCACATGCAGGCTCCACACACGTACCATGTCACCACCGTAACAAAATTTCTTGCAGAACCAGTCGGCATGAAAGAGATTGATGTACGAAACATAACGTAATACATGACGCTAACTTCTTATGCGGTTTTTACTTTTTACAATCGTCAGGTCAAACGAACTGAATGATATCAAAGAACAAAAATTAACAAATAGTGCTTGAATAGTACCATCCTAATTTGTTTTCTAACGTCCAAAACCATTTGTGATCAAAACTCCTTGTGTATCGACAAGAATATAACCCTTTACGATTAAGCCTCGTCGGTTTGTTGTCTAGGATTGATCAAAACTACTTTGGTATTGACATGAACCTAACCCTTTTACGGGTGCAATTATGCCTCGTTTGCTGTCTAGAATTGAATTGTAAAGGATCATTTTATATTTAAGGTATTCTTGAGATAAGAGAATAATAATTTTGTATTTTGAGAGAAATTAGAACGGGATTAGACATGAAAAAAAAAAAAAAAAAAACCCCAATCCCTCCTAATCCACCAACTTTGAGGAGCATTGGAATAGATAAACTTTTTAAACAAATATTTCATCTTCTACCTTCAAGTTGGATACAATTTTTTTCATTACTTCTTTCGAGATACCTTCAATATAGTAGTTTACCCATTCCAATTCAACCCAAGACGAGTCAAAAAGCAAACACGACACAAAAGGCAAAAAAATGGCACACTAAATCATATGATGAAAAGATGCTATCCTACAAAGTTTGGGAAGGTAAAGTAACATTTATCCATTATCTTTCCACAAACATCGAGAGTAGACAGTATTCAACTCCAAAGGCTATAAACTACACCCACAAAAAAAAAGTAAAAATTGAAAACATAAATTATAAAAACATTGCTCCACTAATGGTACCATGATACAGAGGCATCCCTCAAGGGCCACAAACACATGCCGATTGTGAAGCTGGAATGCTTTCGTTCGGAGGATCGGAGGTGTTTTCGTTGTTGCACTAAGATCGGACGACGACTATGGTATCAAGCGCAAATCGCTTCACAGAAGTGAAAAACAAGAACAAATATAGCAAAACATCAAAAGCACATAAGAGAAATCATTGAGATGGAAACTATCTGGCAAAGGGATGTATTTCTTTTCCTCTAAAACTTTGAATTAAACAAGAAGAAAATTGTAGAGGAGGAGCTAGTTGAAAGCTCTCACCACTATTTTGTGGCGCACGAAAAAGAGGTATCGAAGATTCACATCTAAAGACACATTAATCTAAAACCTGGAATTCCCTCAAAAGTTCAGAATGCATGGAGTTTTGTCTCTTCAGCTTCGAGCGCTAAATTTCCGGTTCCTTGCAAAAAGTAAGAGGCAACATCTTAACATCTAAAATCGATAGTTTATGGTAGAAGACTAATAAAAGAAGGGCCAAAACATTGACAATTATTTTGCCCATACTTAACTAACAAGAGCTTACCAATTTAACATGGCTCAGCAATCCCAAATCAGAGAGTGAACTTTCCACTGTACAATTTACATGCACAATGGGACCCTTCAAAACACTCTCCTCTGTGGTTTCCATCTCACCGGCCCCAGATGGAATACTCATGTACGAAGCTCCTTTGAACATCCATTCATCCCTTTCTTGACGATAAAAATCTTCAAAAATATCACCACATATAACACATGCACATTGGTTTTCGTCTGCAGGAACCATGGGCTCGTCAATGTCCATCGTCTCATTAGGCTCGTCTATTGAATTGTTGGCCTCAGGTACCAAAGGGTGTCCTGCTTTTCCAGCAACCCAGCTGGTTAAATTTGGATACCACTTCCTTGATGCCATAGCTGAACCATTGGCTTTGGGATTTTTCGAAGCATGCCATTCCAAGTGTCTCTCAAGTCGTTCTCTAAGTTTGAGCTTAAGGCCACATATGCTACACTTATGTGGAAGGTCATTAAAAAGTTCATCAATCACGGCTGGATGGAATTCTCGGATTTTATCTGGCTTAAACTCAACGCCAATGAGGTTTCTTATTTCTGTCTTGGTAATTTGAGGTAAGGCAGCAGATGTTTTAGCTGCAGGTTCTGGGAGAGATGCATCATCAGTTCGAGATGAAACAGGAAGACTTGTTGAAACTGAAACTGGAGACACTGACACTAAACTGGTGGCAGGTCCACCAAGGCTCTTGCTTTGCAGTTCAGTCGGCTTTTGGGATGGCACAGGAGTGAGCGACTCTGACTTTGATGCAGATATCAAACCCTTTGCAACTAAGGAGCTTAAAAGGCTAGAAATTGGATCCGAGGAATTATTCACCACAGTTGAAGAACTTGCTGACGCACTACCCTCGAGAGATGAAGGAGGTTGGCTATGTGAAAGTGGCAGATGGCCTACCTTCTTCTGTGATACATTTGAGGAAGCTGGTGAGTTATCACCAGAAAGGCGACCTGATGTAAGTGCTGAGGCAACCTTGGACCCTGGGAGTGCAACCTGAGTAGGGGGAGGTCCACTTGGAAAGGGAGACTGAACACCTGACAGTGATGGAATATGTCCCATGTCCCGAAGATTCAAATTCGGTAGGCTACCACTAATTGATTTGTTAGATAAAATTCCAGTCTTCATAACGGCAGCCAACAAACTACTAGTGCTCAACTGTCCTGAGGTTTCTGCAGCAATGACATTTGAATGATCTGGTATAGAATCTCCAACAGTTGACGGAGTTGAAAAAGTGGAGACCGGTAGCACATGGGGCTTCTTAGTGTGACCGAAAGATTCAGACTCTATACTGTCTGGTTGTTGTTGAGAGGCATATTTGTGCCTTGATTGGATGGCAGGAATTGACAAAGATAAATCTTGAGGCTGTGATTTTGCTTTGCTACCCAGTCGAGCATTGGGAGTTGGGATTGGCAAAGGGTCCTCAGCAAGGTCTTGCTCAGCTAAACTTTGCAAATGATGACGAGGGTGTTGTACTGTTGATGTAGGTGAGGGAGAATACTGGTGCATCAGTGACTGCCCAGATGGTGATGCAGCTCTCACAGACTGAAGTTGCTGCTGTTTCCCTAAAGCTCCAGTAGGCCCTGATGCTGCACTAAATCCAATACTTGACGCTCCAATGCGAGAAGATGCTACTTGTGCTCTACTTCCCATCCTGGCCACAGATAAATCTCCACTTGTCGATAGCCCACTTAAACTTGAAGCATAACGATCTGAGTGAACCGAACTAATGACAGGAGTACCAGAAGGGGTCAGCCTGTCAACACCGATAGAGTCCTGCAATGTCCAAGGTGATGACATCCGGTGACCAAGAGCAGATGGGTCCTTCTGTTCAGTAGGGTCAGCAGAGGTATCCGGATCAGCTGTTGATGCATAATCATTTACACTTTTTGGTTTACGAAAATGACCTCCAAACCCCTGAGAATATGAGCAATTTCAAATAATAAGATTTTCTTCTATTTTTTTTTCAAAAAAAAAATATCCTTAAATGTAAGAGGCAGTTTGTGCATCCTAGAGGTTAAGATAAGTGTGAAAGTAAAAGCATTGTATTGATCCCAACAGGATCTGCCCAGTAACTATGTCAGTATTGTGTAAACTGTAAACTCTTCTGAGATTTAGCCAGCTATCCAAAAAAACTTGTCCTTGTATCTACCTCCACACTTTGTGGCTGAGAAATTAACATGTGAACCGGTAGGTAATCAACCTTCAGGTCCCAATTTTTCAATCAGTACAAGCAATGGAGCTTACCAATCTCTCTGAATCATCAGAGGCCCAGTGATCTTTTCTTGAGTTACTAGAAATATCTGAGGGGCCATGATCTGTTAATCTTGAGTTCATATCATCCCACATGAACTCCTCTTCCTCAGAATTCTTCCAGCTACTAGAAAGCCCACCACCATTTCTAGTTGCAATGCCTGGTGCTGCCTTTAAGCGAGGATCAGCATTAGCAGATTTAGGCGCCGAGTAACTTGCAAGTCCATGCCTGATATTAACACCATTTCTTTGGGTGGATAGTGTTTCTGTAATCTTCCCACCAATTCTTCCAATTCCTGGGTTTGAATTCCTGGGAAGATCAGAACCATATTCATATTCTCCATATTCAGCATCAATGTTCTTCTCATGAACACGCTCGCTAAGTGCATCTGCATTGGACTGCTGCAAATTCTGCAAATGTTACCTATCATGAGCTGTGAAAAAAAAAAGGACAATAATACGCACATAATATCAAATTTTACTTAACATTCATGCATTTTAACAGTAGGATCATCATCAATTGAGTTTGCCATAGCCCTAGAAAAGTCACTAGCCATTCCTTTTGCCTTCATACCAAAAACCAGCATAAACGAAATAAGTAAAAGCACTTATCTTTTCATAAGGAGCATGTGGGTAAATCAAGGTTGTACGAAGAAAACATATATTCTCAGATATCAAGTCATCTGGTAAAGGATCAAGATACTTCTGGAAAATATAGCATAACTCCAAACTATAAGAGCAATATTCTATGAATAAACTCCCTGAATAAATAAAAAGAGCAACATAGAAGTTTTAGAACCTACCATAAGAGTTCTAATTTCCAGTGTTAAAAAAGGTCATCAGAGTATAGTTTTCTGATGTTATTATTTATTTGTGATAACTTTTAACAATCCACCACTAAATCTTGGAACATCAATACTAGGTGGTCAAAACTCAAGAGATGTGAATCCACATCCATAATTGACTTCAGAACTCCACTTACCCTAGTTGGCTGCTGAAGACGTTGCCTTTCCAAATATTTGGGATTCACATGAATGCTATGTGCTTGTCGCTGTGACTGCGAATCTGGTCTTGATGTTGCTGCTCCAGTGGATGAACCATTTGCCGTAGAAGAAAATCCAAGTTCTTTCTCAATCATCTGAAGTGTCTGAGCAGGAAACACTCCTTTCCATGTTCCAAAAAGATGTCGCATACTTTGATGTATAGGAGGTTCAACCTGCCTATATGCCTTGCAGAACACCTATAAGTTCAAGAGAAAGGCAAAGAATTGGCCAAGTAACTAACAAAGAATCAAGTCTACCGTGAGTTGTGACAAATACGGGTAGCAAGGACGTAGTGTGCAAACAAACATCTTTTTTATTTGAAAGATACCAGGTAATGGGTTAGCAGTGAAGATCAGGAACAATACATGTCAAAAGAAAAAAACAAAAACAAAAAAAAAACAAAAAAAAAAAAAACAAAACAAAAAAAAAAGAAAAGCATGCTTTCCATCAACTAGACAAAGCATGCTGAGAATCAAGAAAGAAATCTAACCTCAGGGAGTCTGACAGCAAAATATTTGATATAATCCCTTCCGATATTCTTTACAATACTGTCCAAAAGATAAAGTGATGGTAACTTCTGCTCGCTAGGAACCTGCAAATTACTTTCTAGAATTAGATATTATACACTAGATGCAGCCAGTATTGTTTAAACAAATAAGCAATTAATAAACCAATGGCCTAGAACCAATGTTTCCCAAGAGAGTGTGGAAGGGGAAGGAGAATTTGTGTCAGTTTAGACTCTTCAAACACATTTATAAGATATCAAAAGCAACATAAACTGCACGTATAATCACTTCTAAACTATCCCATTGGGGGGCAAAACTTAGGCTCTTAGGAGAAAATACAGTAACTAGAATAATGCGAGTGATATTCATTCATTTATTTTTACAGTCATATTTTATGACTTGTTTTCTCATGTGTCCTCAAAAAGCTTGGCTTTCTCACTCTAGTTTCTGTCTCACAAGGATTTGAGTCATTTCCTTATGGGAACAATGAAAACTAACAAGACATCCTTCACTCTGCCACTCCTAGATAATATAACATGTATAGAAACATCTCCAGGCACCTAATAATCAGAAGATACACTCAGCTAGAAATGGAATGTGTGCTATCAGAACCCTAAAGGAGAGCAATTCCAGAGTGCAATAATAGACCGAACATCTAAATCTATTTGACGTATATAAGTGTATATAAATGTACTGTACATTGTATATTTTGGTGGTAATCACACTGATAAATCAAATATGCCCTCCATCTTTCAAATGTAAGGATGTCAATGAAATTGGCACCATCACTTTAGTGCTCTAACAAAACCTGAGGTTTGTATGTATTCTCTGTTTTGTCAATCTGACAGTCTTTAATTACCACCAGAAGATCAGTATAGCAAGATAATTACCACTGAGCAAAACCATATGAGATCATGCACCTGCAGAGTCAGCCATCGAAGTCTTGCAGGGCATTACCATCAGGTCTAAAAACTCCCCAAAACTCTATCCGAATAAGGTTCTTACATACAACCACAACATATAATGCTGATTTTCTAAACATAGCAGCATCTGTAAGGCTATGAAAGTGGTTTTCCTCCCCTTTCAAATGCTGAAGCGTTGTTGTAACAAGAATAAAACAGCTATATGCAGAGATTTTCAGTGAAACCCGTAGGCCATAACCATAAGGATGTGATTTATTCATTCGGTTTTGAAACCTGCTCCAGCTCATTCCACAAAACCCATTTAATCACAGAATGTCAAAACTATTCTCATGTAGCTACATACAGCCTCATTTGCGTGCAATGGATTAAACAAATTCCACGCAGGCAACCAGAAAATGATGAAGTGGAACTTGTCAAACCTGGGGGAATGTCAGGAAAACATATTGATTACACGTGCAATGCCTGACCAATGTTAACTCCAGCCAACCCCTCAACTCAGTATCATACAGGAAAAATAAGAATGAAATTGGATGTTCATTACTTCAATAGGCTCACTGGCGAATACAAACATTCTCACTCAGTCAAAACTAGATCACCACACATAGCACAAACCTTTATTATTTGCATCAGGAAATTAAACAAACATTTAACTGGGGACAAGCTTTCGGAACAAAAAATTTCACTAAATTATCGGCACAACATAAAACATGAGTAAGAGCGAGCACTAACACATTTTAGTTCTCCTTTCGCACCTCCATCCCTTTCTTTTTCATTGTACAAGTCGAATTCAAACAACCGGTGCCATAACCAAAAATATAAAACACAAATACAGCTATATACAGTGTAAAGCTGAGTTTCACCTCAATAATGTGGCTGCATACAGTTGCCGCCACCGCCTTCGCTGCGTGGAGGTTCTCACCAGCAATTATCGTCAGATTGGTAATAATTGGCTTTGAATTGAAGGTGAGCTCCGCCAACGCCGTCTTGTACTGGCTCACAAGCTCCTGATGCTGCAGTGGCTGCGGCACATAGCCCCCACCCCCGCGATTCGGGTCATCGCTCCCGGTGTCTCTATCACTCACTCTGAATCTTGACAGCACTGGATTAGCTCCCCCACCAGGTCTCTGCCCAAAAGCTCGGCCATTCGGGTTTTCGGCCAATCGGGGCTTCTTCAAGCCTGGTTCATTCGATCCGCTAAACGGCCTACGCGAGCTCTCCATTTCCATCACAGTCTCAGAAATCAAAACCCTAACCCTAAATCCCTAATCTTCGATTACAAATCAGCCATCTATAAAAATAAAATAAAAAAATCAATCCAAAATTGTATACTACCAACAGCGAAAGGCCTAGTTATCGACACGATAATCAAGAAAATCAAAAATCCCTAAATACATGGATAATTATCAATATAAACCCTGATTCTTATTACAGGTATACAAATTAAATTGAAAAATAAAAGCAAAAACAAAATCGAAAAATTGGAGCGGAGATTGGAGCGTTATTGGTGGAATAAGAAGATTGGGGAATTGGGAATTAGGGTTAGATTTAGAACAAGGACATGGGGAGGAAAAGTGTGTGCATCTGTGTGTGAGGAAGATATATTATATAGCGGGGAAGGTCGTTTAAAGACAATTAAATTAAAAAGAAAAAAAATATAGGAAAATGAGCTTTCAATCGAGAAATAAAAGAAGGGTTATTTTCTCTTTCCTTTTTTTTTTTACTTAAAATACAAAAGGTTATTTTGAATTTTCTTTTTCAAACAAAAGTTGGGGAAGAGATCCGGATCTCTCCACAAAAACCCACCAATCAATTAATCCGGGATCTTAAAATTTGATTCAATGGTAAAATTATTATAACTTTTAAAATGATCTCTTGTTTGTATCTGTTAGATCAAATTTTAAAGGTCCGAATTATTTGATTGGTGGGCGGGAAAGATCTGGAAATGATCTCTTCCCCAAAAGTTGGCCCTCATGATAAGATAAAGTTAACGTATCATACATATACGTACGAACATATTTTTTAAAAATACTTACATTTTTTGTACAAATATCAATGATTCGTTAAATTGCACGTCTTTTAGTACTTCAACCTATGATACAAGTACTAACATATTTTTCACGTCTAATACACGTTATTTAGATATATTTTCTAGGGTTGGAAAAAAAATACCAAAAATCTCAAACCGAATCGAAAAATTCCCGAAACTGAACCGAAAAAATCCCAAACCAAAAATCCAGATAATTTCGGTACCCAATACCTAACCAATCCCAAAATTTCAGTATGGGAATCGGTCTCAAGTTTTCGACATTTTGATAATCCCCAACAGAATCGAAAAAAATATATATTATTTAATTTTTAAATATATATTTAGAATTTTAATAGCCGTTGAATTCGGTTGAGATGTAATCTCAACCGTTGAATCTTATCAAACCTACCGAAGAACAAAACTATTCACTCTCAACTCAAACCTTGCTCAGCGTCACGACATTCCTCGCCGATTTCTCTCTCCGTTTTCGAATCCGGCCACACAAGTGACTCACTTGAGTCACCAATCACCTCTGTGATCTCTAATCTCTCTCTAAGTCTCTCTCGACTTCTTGTCCTGAAAATTCCGGTTTGGGAATCGGGACAAGAATTTCGGTTCGGTAACTCATACCGAACAATAATGCACATAAATTTTGTATATTATATATGTATTTTTAAAATACTATTGAAAAACAAAAATTATAATATTTAAATAAATATTAAAATTTTAAAAAGGTCGAATTTTTCAAACTTTCTTTAATGTCGAATAATATGCGCACGTATTTTTTACATATTTTTTGTATTTTACAAACTATGATATTCAAATAAAAGTTTAAGGGATTGTGAGCAAGTTATAAACTTATAGAAATTCATGGATTTTGTGAGGACTTTATTTTGAATTTTAGTGTATTCTCATGGATTCTCATGAACTTTTTAATGGCTTATTTAACATGGCATTTCCACTGGTTTTAGGTTTTCAACATTCAAAATAATGAATAATGAACTTTTAATGGCCATTTCAACTAGTTTTAAATTTTAATATTCAAATAATGAACTTTTTAATGGCTTATTTAATAGGCATTTCCACTAGTTTTAAATATTCAATATTCAAAATAATGATGAGTCATCATGTGTGATGTTAGTGGTGATGGTCATGATAAGGGGCAACGATGGTGGAGACAACGGTGGTTTCAGTGGCGGTGAAGGCATGGTGGCAATGGCGGTGGGGTATTAACGCATGTACAAATTTTTGGGGAAACATTTAGGCAGCGTATAACCATTTTATTTGGTAATCAAGGAGCACTCTCATGTGTAAGTATGTGTAACTTGTATAAGGTGAAGAAATTATATTGTGTAATAGTTTTTTTTTTTTTATATATACCTGGTTACATTTAACATTTGCCGCTAAGATGACACACGTCAAATTACAATAGTTGTACGTAATATCTTTAGTATAATTTCAATATTTTAAAAGCTTGAGTTATATTGAAATAGAAAAGACAACATTAACTACCTATATTGGATGACAGAAAAATCGAATTTAGAACCTTAGGCTCGTATGCAAAAAATAAATACTCTTAATCTACATAACGACACGTTCTTTATGTAACACCTACGAGGCTACAAAGGAAATTCTCGCTCTCACATTTTATTTTTTCATGAGTGAACGATTGAGATTCGACAGAAAGAGAAAGGGAAAGAGAAAAGAGATTGGGCTTAAGATGGGTTACAAATGATGGGCCGAAGAAGGCCGAGTAAAGCAGCAAATTTTCCGAGTCCATACGAGCCCACAAAACCCTAATGACATCATATCAGGGTCCACAGTCGTCACCGTCGGTTTGGAATAAAACCCTAGCTTCCCTTCCAAAGTCCTGCAACTGTATTTCTCAGAGGGTTTTACATTTTGCAGTCAACCATGTTGCCTGTGAAAACTGCCCAGAAAGGAAAGGCCACAAGAGAGCCAGAGGGTTCGCAGCCAACCTGGTTGCAAGTGAGAACTCCCAAGAGTGGAAAGGCCAGAAGAGAGCTAGAGAAACGTGCCCCCAAGATCGTAAGTTCCTCACATCTGTTTGTTTCTCGGGAAAATTTGTTCTTTTCTCATGGCTAAAAGCAAAAGTTCAGATTTTTTAACTTGAGTATTGGTTTTTTCGATTTTTTTATTGATTTTTCAATTGGGTTTTGTATGATTTTAAAGGTTGAGACGGGGAAGAAGACGTTGATTCTTCACGGTAGGAAGACGAGTAGTGTGATTAATTCTGCGTTATCGGACCTTTACCATTTGAAGAAGGACAGTGCTGTGAAATTCAGCCGCAGGAATGAAGATATTAACCCTTTTGAAAGTGGGGGTGATACTTCCCTTGAGTTCTTCTCTCACAAAACCGATTGCAGCATTTTCGTCGTAAGTATAAAACTACTTCAGCATTTTGCTTCTCCAATAATTTGATTTCATGTGAGCTTGGTATGAAAAATAAATAAATATATATGTGTGTGTGTGTGTGTGTGTGTGTGAATAAATAAACATATAGATATATGTGTGTGTGTGTTGTGCAACTGTTTTCCGTTTCGGATTTGAAAGGTTATTTGGATTTCGATAGTGTTGCAGCATTTGCTTAGTTTTACAGGATTTATTGCTAGCATTGATGAACGTTTTGGAAGATGTTTGGTTGTTTTCTGTTATTTCTTTGAGTTGCTCATTAGAATGAATGCGTTTCTGGTAGAAATCTTTGGTTTCAATTTGTTACTATTCTTTCAATGTTCTGGAAATCTTTGATTTTTTTCAGTTTATGTTTCTATGATGAACATGCCTCTTTGATCCTGTTGTGGCATTTGCAATGGATTTGGTAGGTGACAAACTAGTTTAGTTATATGTTTGGACATTGCAGACGCAGAATTCGTAACACAGAATAACTAAAAGCAGCTCACAACCAATGAAAGTATTTGTATTTATTTCTATCTATCATCCTTCATTTTGGAATGCCAAGGATGCTCGTTGCCCTCTTGTTAGTCCCATTTTACCTTTTTAGTTTTGATGTGGACTTTATCTTAAATGCAAGCCTATATCTTGAATTTTTTATATTCCAACTACATCTACTCATTTTTCAAAATGTATGCATGATGATCGATGTTTATCCCATTTTCTGAACTGAGTTCTTGACTCGCCCTATTTAGAATGCTGAGCCCCTGTGCTGCCTAAATAAGATCAGGCACTGTATCTTATGTTTGTGTTTATTTCCCGATTTCTCAAATGTAATTTTGAAGTTGTTAATTGCTCTTATATTGCAGTTTGGCTCTCACTCAAAGAAGCGGCCTGACAATCTTGTCATAGGGAGAACTTATGATCACCATATATATGATCTTGTAGAGGTTGGTGTTGAAAACTATAAACCATTGGAATCGTTTACATATGACAAGAAACTAGCACCACGGGTGGGGACGAAACCTTTCATTTGCTTTATTGGAGAAGGATTTGAAAGCGCAGGAGAGCTGCAACATTTGAAGGAAGTTTTGCTTGATCTGTTGCGAGGAGAGGTTTATCTCTGCTGCCATTTTGTTGCACGTTACTCGTTTTTGAATTTAGTGAGGGATATTAATATATGCATAAAAATGACATGTGCAGGTTGTAGAGAAATTAAATCTTGCCGGTTTAGATCGTGTATATGTATGTACAGCTATATCTTCTAAAAAAGTGGTTCTTACTCAATGTGCACTGCGACTTAAAAAATCTGGCACAGTAGTTCCACGGATAGAGCTAATTGAAGTTGGCCCCTCCATGGATTTAGTAGTTCGTCGGCATCGCCTTCCTAATGAAAGCCTAAGGAAAGAAGCAATGAGAGAAGGCAAAAATCAGCCTAAGAAGGTTGAAATACTAAATCTCCTTCTGATTTCTCTGGTTTCTTTTGCATGTAACATGTCTGTAACGCAATTCCTCTTATTACTTCCAGGACAAGAATATTAAACAGGACCTACTGCGGGGCAAGGTTGGGAAAATCAACATCCCAGATCAAAAGGTAAACGGCGAACATAGATTATTTCACTATAGCAGTTGTTCTGTGGTCTAGAGGGCGAGTGTTAGTTTACATGACCTGAACCATTTCTTCTCTACTTGCGTCTTTTTCTACTGTACATTTTGTCCAGTACGCTGATGTTAAGCATGTCTAACTAATATTTCTTTATCATTTTTGTTGACAAACTCTGTGTTTAGATTGGAGATACGGTGTATTATCACACAAAGGTTGGTGATACATTTGTGCCTAGCAAAACGAAGGGAGTTAAAAGGGAGCGACGCGAAGCTAGAATGAAACACGAGGGTAATGAGCGTACACCAAAGGTTCAAGACATGCTAGAGCCCAAGAAAGCAAAAAAACTTAAAAGGGAGCGCCATGATCCTACAACAACCAAGTATGCCGAGTGAGTCTTCAGACAAACGGACTCTGCAGGGGTTTAAGTTGAGTTACTCCCTTGCTACTAACAGACTTTGGCTTTTCGGCCAGTGCTTGCAAGGATTAGAGTCAGCAGGTGTAATGGATCTCCACGGAGCTCGGGATTTTTGTTCTTCCATATTTCACAGATCTAGCTTATATAATTAGTTGCATTCCCAGCATGAGTTATATCTGTTGTATTCCTTCTGCTTCAATAGCCTCTTCCGTCTCCGCGAGTTAAAATTAGTTACTGCGTCAGCAATTTGTTGCCTGAAAGGCTCTGTTATTCGACATTCCAATGTCAAGATTGGCTTTATGTTATGTACTGTTGTCTCTTTCTTTAGTTATATTTCTGAGAGTTTGCTTGCCACATTTAACTAAATATGACTTAATTCAATTCTTCAAGTAATAGCAGATACAATTCTGATCAACTTTTGCCATCTCTGATGCTAAGGACTCCTTTTTCAGAGTTGAACTAAATAAAAGCACAAAATATACAACTTTTCTAAAATAGTCGAGTAGTAGGGATGCAATTCGGGTGGGTTGGGAGGTTTAGATGGTCAACTCAATCCTAATCCGAAATTCATAATTCAAGCTTGGGTTGACTTCGAGTTCATGTTGGTTTATCCGGGTATAAATTGGGTTTGGGCTTACAAAGGTTTGGTTCAAGTTTGCCTAACTCTATCAAGTTTAATATTGTATTACATTATTAAAATATGCAAAGTTGAAATTAATTACAAGACAACACCAAAGTTTTAACCAAAAGAAACATAAAAGCAACACTATCATTCATTGTTCAAATAGAAACCAGAAATCAAATTTCAAGTATAGCCCTCTCAATATAATATGAAATGTGATAAGGTAAATATCTGCACGAGCTATTTAAGATAAAAATCGAGTGGAATTTGGGTTGACATGGGCCCAACACAATAAATGATCAGTAGAGGTCGGATTGGATTTGAGCAGGTTATTACTTCATTCTAACCAGCCCAATCAAGTTTAAAATCGGATTGGGCATAGGCTGATTCGGACGCTATCCAATTGTATGAAAAATTGATGGTCAAGATTGAACTAGCCGGTAGTCCGGACTACCAAAGATGAACCCAAAAATATAAAGTACCTTAAGATGACAGTGGACGTCTGAATCTTTGATTTAGCCTAATCTTAACCCATTTCGCCGGCTTCAAGTTTGAACGTTCGCTAATCTTCTTCTCCCTGTTTTTGAGAAGGCTGGCAGTTCTTCAAAGCAACTCTTCGCTAATGTAATGCACCTCAATGCTTCTTCGGTGTTTGTATTCGCACACCAACTGGAGAAATCCAGTCCAAAAAATTGTAAACGTTAAAAGTTGGGAGACCAACGAGAAGATGAATGATCTCAACAGATTGGCCTACTAATTTCTGTACCTGTTAAACTCAAACAGTTTACCTTTCTGGAATTTCACGAGCTCAGAAGGGCAAAATCCAATACGGACGACCCCGTTTCCCAGCGGAAGCGATGCTACCTTTCCAGAGGATAAAGACCTGCAGTTTCACAGCTCTATTATTTGTTAGCAACAGAACTTTGAGATTAATGGAGCCTACAACTAGAAGGAATGCAACCTACAAAATAGGTGAGAACAGAGTTGGGAAAAGAACAAATATCAGGACGGACGGAAATCGAAGATTTAAGGAATAAAAGCGGATGATTAAGAAAGAGTAAGACTTTGTTATCAAATTAATATATTCATTAATAAACCGTCCATATAATAGACCCCTGACCCCTGCAACTTAAAATGACTAGGATCCGAAAGGGCAGCAAATGCAGCCCTACGGATCAGTAGTTTTAGATGCAGACTGGACACCTTGACTCTGAGGCTCATCAAATGCAGATTCATGGGCTGGCCACTTATTGATTCCCAACCCTCCTGCCTCTTGCAGGGGATCGATATCCCAGACATCTAACAATCCACCCGTCACTCCCACCTCTGGCACATCATAGTTGACTGGATTACCCCATAACTCATTCATAGAAGTTGACATACCGGCACTGACATCAAAATCCATGCTCCATATGTCTTCTTGTTTAATCATGCTCTCCAACCCTGGAGAAAACAGTTCTGGAAAAGTCCTGTCCTTCAACAAACCTTCCTCGAAAGAGACATAATGCTCGGGATTAGCCTCTTGTTGTGGGCTTAGAACACTCTTCCCTTTGAAAAAAGGATCTTCAGTTACCATGCTTGATGCCCCTTCGCCTTCTTGCTCTGGTGTTTGAAGAAATCCTTGTGTGATTGCTAATTCATCTAGTGCAGCGTCCACAAATTGGAATGCCGTGCTTTCAGCATCCAAACCCAGTTTTCCTGTCGTAACTTGTGAAGGATAATGAGGAGATTGTTCAAAGGAACTGGATTTGAATCCGGCGCTGTAGAGGATATGGTTTGGTTTCTCCAAGCAGGCTGGTACTTCACAATCTGGCCTTCCATATCTGAATCTGACTTACTGAGTTCATGCTGCTGATGCTTAACAAATTTCCTCCTCACCCTTGAAGAGCCTCTGTCTTTCTGTCCAGTCTTTTGTTGAAGTCGGGCCACGAATGCCGGGTTCTGAAGCATCTTGGCCAAGAAAGAAACCATCTGCTTCTGTCTCTGCTCCGCAGACTGAAGCCTCTGATTCACTACCTTCATACGGTCAACTGTGCCCCGCTGCTGCTGCTGCAATTCAACAACCTCCTGCATTAACATACTCCTCTCTTTCTGCAATGTCTCTATCTCACCTTCGACTCCAGACTTCCCTGCTTCCGCAGAAGGCCCAGTAAAGCTCCCAACTTGCAGAGACTGAGGTGACTTGCGCCTCTGGATCCTCTTCAACAAATGTCTTTTGCCCTTCTGAAAAGCTTCATTCGCAAACTCCCACTTATCTGTGTCAACCTTGCGAAAACCCTGAATGCAAGACCCAAAATAATTAAAAAAAAAGGAATGGGAAAGCGATATAACAGAAATCAAAAGATATATACAATCATTCAAGTAGCAATCTAATCATCACAGAAGACAATGTGAGGCCATCAACTTTCATGCATATGAAGAACTGAACCTTGCTTACAATCTGTAAATCACATCAAAAACAGTAAGAGAAATTTATTGGGGTAATATATACTTGTATAATAACAGATTTCGAAGGGAACCCAAATTCTAACTGACGGACTCCCCTCTACAGTACATACTCAAGAGGGGAAGATGTTCTTCTCGTAGAAGCCTCCGATCCTAACTACTAAATAAATAAAAGAACAACCTCTAGCATTTCCATTTAGATTCACTATTCTAAGCTTCATGATTAAAGACAATCCTAAAAAACATCTTATATTATCCAGAGAGATGAGATGATTACATGCCCATTAAAGTAGAACCACATCATCATCATATCATCAACAACATCAATCATCATCAGCATCAACAACATCATAAACATCATCATCATCATCAAGAACAACAAAAGCAGCAATTCATTTCTTCTGTCACTTCACCTGCGTAAACTATTGGAAACCGGAAAACAAATTGCCAAGCTTTTCATCGAAGAAACCTTTTTCTCACAAAAGAATCCTTTTATTATTTCATTTTGGTCAATTACATATGAACCTCTACACATACAACAAATTGGGAGTTAAGAATACAACACCAGCTCCTACAGAATCTTACATCGCGAGCTTAATACAAATACTAATCGCCTCAGCTACATCTATACAGAATTAACTTCATCAAACCCAATTCAGACAACAAACAAAAAATCTAAAACACAGAAAGAAAAACAAATTAAAAAATTAAAGGACAAGAAAAAAAAATTACATACAGATCACAGCAGCTAATACAGGCTGTGTTACTGCAAAATACCCACATAAGTATTAAGCTGCCGCACAAAACTTGAGAAATTGTTGTGCTTGAAGTTCCTCGGTAAGATGAATCTGGAAAACTCCGATGGGTCCCACACCACGAAGCTGCGGCCGCCGGAGCCCCACGATATGATCGAATCCAGCGAGGGGTCCTCGACCAAATCGAAAGTCTTGGACAGAAACGGAGGCACCAGAGTGACCTGCAGACATTCCAGTGGCTGCGGCGGAACAACCACGTCCTCCGCACCACCGCCGCCCATAGACGGACGTTGGAATTGAAACTTTTTCAGTGAAGTTAAAAGCCCCCAATGGTTTTACAGAAGAGAAGGCTTCGAACTCCATTACAGAGAAGTGAACGAAGGAATCGGCTGAGAACCCAGTAACGGTTCCGACACTTCGAGTCGAAATTCCGATAACCCAATTGATTCCGGGTCGAATTCAGCTGAAGTGGGTGGAGACTTTGGGTGGCTCTTGTCTTTTGGGCTCATAGAACGAAATTCTCACTCTTTGTTAATGGCAGTGAACTGGGTAAGACAGAGAGAGAGAGAGAGAGAGGGAGGGAAGGTGGGTGTGGTGGGTGAAAAATGGCGGTTTGGGGAGCTTGGGAGTGGGTATATAAGGGGCTCGAATAGTTACGCCGACTAGGTGTTCGATAAAAATCCTGAAAGTTCGGTCAAAGGCGGTGGAGGTTTTTCTACTGTACCAGTCGCCTTCTTGGTCATCCCAGCTCCGATCCATGTGGGGCTCCCTGAAATTTGAGAGCGTTTCAGCACCGACCTAGTGAGAGAGAGAGAGAGAGAGAGAGAGAGAGAGAAAGGGAGAGAGTTTCCAGGGTGTGACGATTGTTTTGAAAAACAGTTATGGTGGTTGTACTTTGAAAGGGGCCCACTGGGCTGGAGATATTTTTGTCTCTTGATATTCTGTCCGGACCCCGTGCGTTTTTGAAAGTGATATGGTGGATCGCCGTGTAATACTTGGGGATGAAGGTAGCGGGGAGGACCAATCAGGACACGCCATTTGGTAAGGTGTTAGAGTTGGGGACGCGGGTTCAACGCGTGATTAGCGTGTCTACGTCCTACTGGCTGATTTAAGAAATGTATAATTATTTTCTTCGTCACAAAAATGATGTTTGAAATTTGCATAACTCTTCATTTGGTCTCTAAGATTTGAAGCAAATAGAACTAATCTTTGAGTTTGCCTATCATCAATTATTTTGACCATTTCATGAAAAATCTTCATTAAATAAGGCTAAAATAAAAAAAATACTCTAATTTTTGTCAAATCATTTGACCCATTGTTTATTAAATTGAGAGTATTTTTGTCTTTTTATCCTTATTTAATATAATTTTTCATGAAAGTACTAAAATAATTGATAGTTGACAAATTCATGAACTACTTCTATTGATTTCAAATCACATGGACCAAAATGATGAGTTATATTAATCTTATGGATCATTTTGGCTAAAAATTCTAATTAATAATAAAATATTTGTAGCTCAGTTGGTTATGCATGCTAATCAAGTATTTAACTAATTAAAGGGTGTAAATTACTTAATTTAAAGATGAACAATGTTTGGCTACTTAACAATAAGTAGGAACAATGATTATGATAAACCTTGCATATTTTAAATTACTTTGTAAATATCATCTTTGCCAAAAAAATAATAATTAAAACTATAATCGTTTAGTCAATCAACTATAGCAAATAGATAGACAATTCTTAGGTTTTTACCATATTTGTTCATCTATTTTTATACAGCTCAATGACTAAGTGACCTTAGTTTAATTGATTTTTTGCAAAAAATAATCTTTGCATTATTATATGAATGTTTCTTATCATAACACGATATCCAATGAAGCGGACATCAAAGAGTTTTGAGTATGAGCTCTAAAAGGATTAAATAGAGAATTTTTTTTCTTTATATCTAATCAATATCATAGTGATATGACCGATGTGTTATGGGTCGGAAAATTTCCCTATTTTCTAATTGTTGTAATAGTTTCACTACTTAATTATACAGTTTGTGGTATTCTTTTTCACTTATTAGTTAGAGGTCTTAAGTTCGATTCTCGTCAAATGTAAATTGTTATGTCTGGTCCATTGTGAGGCTCCCAGTCTCCCACTTCTTTAGTTAGATAATATCGTTTGTTCATTGAAAAATTATTGTAATAGTTTCAAAGTTACACTTAATAATAATAATAATTAAAAGAAAATCTAATTCAATCTTTTATGCCGGATCTTGCCCAAAAAGGAAAAAAAAAAGGGAAGGAAAGCGACTTTTTGTTTGAAATTTAATTGCTGTAGCACACTAATCACATGTATGCCATTGCCAACTTGGACACAGTTGTCACATGAATGCCAACTTAGACTTACTTGTCACACGAATGCCAACTCAGGCTGCAATTTACAAACTGGTTAAAATTAAATACTTAGTGCTTAAAATATCATTTACAAGACAAAAATAAGGGTCCAAAATCTTAATATTATAATCATTTTTCAAATTTTATAATATGATAAATCTCAGTTTATTACCTTCAAATTTCGTGATTTTTAACATTTAGTACATAAAGTTTGTTTCGTCTCATAGTCATACGTCAAGTGTTAATTTTGGAACAGTTTTATACATCTATTAGTCTGATTGTTAAATCTTCTGTTAACTGATGACGTGACGCTGATATAGATAATGACTGGGTGCCACGTGTCATCAAGGATCCATGTAGAAATTAAAAATTCAAAAAAAAAAAAAAACCAAAATTTCAATAAAACCAAAAGATTTAAAAAATTAAAAAATAAACAAATAAACAAATGAAAAATGACCTAGGCGGAGCTTCCCATTCCTCCACCCGCACCAACGCTTTTTCTTCTTCTCTTCGACAACCACCAAAGCTGATCTGAAAATCAGCACCACCACGGCCTGGGTTCTCTCTCTTTCTTCTCTGTCGACAACAACAACGGGGCATTCATCGCGGAGATTCCAAACCAGAGTAGAAAGCCATAGCCCATAGGTCTCTGGACATTTGCAACTTAAAAAAAAAAAAGGAGATCTCTATAGGTCTCTGGACATTTGCAACTAAAAAAAAAAAGGAGATGGTGCAGATTCGCGCCCAAGCATCATCTCTGGTCTGCGTGATCTTCATCAGCGAGGTCAGGGCCTTCTCGATTTCGAACACAGGGAGACCGAGTCGGTTGGGTTGGGTTGGGTATGGAAGGATTAGGGGAGGGATTGGACGGGTTGGGTATGGCGGGACTAGGGGAGGGATGGGTCGGGTTGGGAGAACGACGAGTGCGAGTGGGGAGAGGGACGGAGGAGGGAAATCGAGTTGGCGAGGACGAAGGAGGAAGAAGGGGTCTGGGCGATGGGGAAACCTTGAAGCACATCTCCAGATAAGTGATTCTCCTGCAGAGCAACCACCTGTAAATTTGGTAACTCGAAAATTTGAACCGACAACTCCCCGGAAAGCTTCTGCTTACTCAAATCCAGTGTTTCAAGCTTCACCAAATCACCAACGCTGGCAGGAACGCTCCCCGAAAACCCGCAATTGCTCAAATTCAAAACCTGCAAGCTCTTCAAATCTCCAACATTAATAATCTCACCAGAAAATCTGTTGTTACTCATATTCAAACTAGTCAAGTTGCTTAGTTGCATCATGAGCTCATCTGGAACTTTCCCGGTCAGATTGTTGTTGCTCAAATTCAAGGATTCGAGCTGCGAAAGTGCTCCTAAACTCGCTGGAATGTCACCGGAGAATAAATTCCTACCCAAAGACAACACCTTCAAGCTCCTCATTCCTCCCAAAAACACAGGAACTTGACCCAAAAATCTGTTTCCTTCAACATCAAGGACATGTAACAAACTAGTTCCGATTTAGGTTTAGTTTTTTTAACTTTTTTGAATTTTTTAATTTTTTTAAATCTTTTGGTTTTTTTTGAATTTTTGGTTTTATTTTTTTTTGAATTTTTAATTTTCACATGACGTCCGGTCATTGTCAACATGGACATCACATCATCCGTTAATGGGAGACTTCGTCAGACTAACGGATGTATGAGACTGTCCCAAAATTAACAATTTAGGTATAACTTTTGGACGAAAAAAACTTTATATACTCAATATTGAAAACCAAAAAACTTGAGAGTAGTAAACTGAAACTTACCCTTTATAATATTACTTTGGTCAGGTACATCGAATATGTCACACAATTCAACAAGCAAAAAGCAAAGCTTGAATATAATAAACACTCTACATTTATTAAAAAATGGTAATGGAATTCGATTTGTAAACTTTTTAGGTTGAGTTAAGAACATCTGGGTTAAAATCTGAATTTTTTAACCCAAAAAATTTATAAACGAAAAATAATTTTTTTTGCTTCAATCTTTTTGAACTAAATTTTTAACACGAGATTATTAAAAAATAATTTTAAAATAATTTTTTTCTTAAATTAACTTTTAAAAAATAAATAAATTATGTAGACTATCTTAATTTTAGGCTTAGTATATTAACACCCCACAATTGTTGAATAAACCCCACATACTTAATAGACCCCACATTTGCTTTTTCACTTAAAAATTATCTTAATGCACCTCACATACTTCCCCATAATACCCCACACCTCACATTCTCAATATACACCTTATATTTTCTTCATACTGTAGACATCGAAATTTCAGTAAAATAAATGTTAACCAATGTATTAAAATTACAACATTTATTTACTTCACCAACCTCACACACTTACTTCACCTACAACATCCACTTACTTCACCTACAACCTCCACTCACTTCACCTACAACCTCCACTCACTTCACCTACATCATCCGCTCACTTCACCAAAAAAATGGATGGTGGTGATTCACTCTCAAAGCCTATAAATAGGCTTCTCCATCAAGAGGAATAGACACACACCAAAAACCAATTCACAAAGACACCAATTCATAAATACATTTCTCTACTCCCAAAATGGAAGAGAATACTCCCCACACATCCAAAACCCTTGAAGCTTTGAAACTCTAAAGCTCTCAAGCATCCAACCCCCAAATTCCCAAGAATCCCGAAGAATGGAGAAATCACTCTTCATTCTTCGTCAAATCCTCCTTCAAGATCAAGCCCCGATGGCCCTTGAAGAACTTCCACCAACTCAAGATCAAGCCTCGACGGCCCTTGAAGAAAGTGTTCATCGTTCATCCTAAGATCAAGCCCCAACGGCCCTTTGGATCAACAGCACAAACAAATCCACACATCTATTCTTTAAGATCAAGCCCAAAAGCCCTTGAAGAAAACCATCTATTCTTCAAGATCAAGCCCAAAAGCCCTTGAAGAAAACCAACTGTTCATTCAAGATCAAGCCTCGACGGCCCTTGAAGAAAACCAACCGTTCTTCAAGATCAAGCCCAAAAGCCCTTGAAGATCCGCTCATCCATCAATATTCAAGATCAAGCCCAAAAGCCCTTGAAGAAACTTCCATCAACCTTCAAGATCCAAGATCAAAGCCATGAAGGCCCTTGAAGAAAGTGTTCATCATTCATCATCCGTTCATCCTAAGATCAAGCCCCAACGGCCCTTTGGATCAACAACCTCAACAAACCCATACACCCATTCTTCAAGATCAAGCCCAACGCCCCTTGAAGATCCATTCATCAACTGTTCATCCTTAGATCAAGCCCCGACGGCCCCTTGGATCAACAAACAAATCCACACATCTATTCTTCAAGATCAAGCCCAAAAGCCCTTGAAGAAAACCAACTGTTCATTCAAGATCAAGCCTCGACGGCCCTTGAAGAAAACCAACCGTTCTTCAAGATCAAGCCCAAAAGCCCTTGAAGATCCGTTCATCCATCAACATTCAAGATCAAGCCCCGAAGGCCCTTGAAGAAACTTCCATCAACCTTCAAGATCAAAGCCACGAAGGCCCTTGAAGAAACTTACAACTGTTCATCCAAGATCAAGCCTCGACGGCCCTTGGATCAACAAATCTACATCTTACGGAGATTGAATCAGAGGACCAAATTTAAGAGATCGTAACCCCAAAATTAATTAACACAAAAATATTATTTTTGTACACGTATTCTTGTCTCTTGTTTTATGAATTTTTCGTGTTCACACATACACCTCACATTTTCTATACACCACATTTCTCAAATCTTATAACAATCATTTTTAATTTTCAAGGGATTGAATCTAAACATTTGAATGTTTAGTTTGCTGAATGATTTCAAAATGAACGATTCGAAAAATGTTTAGACTAGAGAAAAAAGGTAAGAGTTTTATAGGACTGGTGCAATGGTAATGTTCTGGATGGTTTGTCTAGAAAGAAATACCAGGATGTTTAAACATAAATTTGGAGACTGAATTAAAAAATAAAGGATAAGTATTGGGAATTGCTTTGGGTCTCGGTTTCCAATGATTTAAAGAATGCCCCTTCTTGTTGAATGTTAACATTTTCTTAGATTTCTCTTGGCTAGAGGGTTATGTGTCTTTTAACTGCATTTCACTTTCTTTGACACTGACTAACATTCAATTGAAATAGATTCCTATAGTTGCTACCCTTTTTCTCAAGGGTGGCCACAGAAAATGTTGCCTTTCTTAATCGCTAAACTTTTCACTTTAGGATGACAAGATAGGTTTTCCCAGACATATGCTGTCATTCATATATTGAAGAACTAGGTCTCCATCTTTCTAATACAAATAACATAAAAGAACCAACAAATTTGATGGGGATTGGCACCAAATGATTCCATTAGACTTTCGAAATTACCTTCTCTCAATACATGTGGAAGGTACATTGATTTCGTGTACCATTCGTCAAAAATAATTTTTCTCAATCAATATGTATGTAATTTCATTGGTTAAGATTTCGTTCAATAATTGAGAGTGGAAGGGGTTTTAATAGTTGAAGAAGAGGAATAATACGCTAAAAGTAATTTGAAATGTATTTAGAATTTTTTTATTTTTATTTTTTAACCTAATAAGGTTAAAATTAACATTGCATAGTGGGATAAATAAGTTATTTAATATTAAATTTTAATGTGAGGTGCATTCAACATTTTGTGGAGTGCTAATATTAAAAGCCAAATTTTATTTTATGAACATTTTAACTTCAAAATATTTAGATTGCAATAAATATTAAAAATTACTAAACCAATTTAAATTTGAACCGTTAGATCTTTTTCTTTTACCGTTGGATTTGATGATATTAGATCTTAACCGTTAAATTCAATGAATTTATAAATATTAAACAAACAAAAAACACATCTGATGAGCCAACCCACCAATCCAGGAAAAATCCTGACCTAAATTTACCTCATAAATGCGAAACAAAGCATGCTAGGAAAGATGTAATCGATTCTAGTAACGCTCTTTTATGTACAAAATTATAACACAGAAATTATATAACTTCCCCATGATGGCGAGAAGAGACGGCAATGCAGACACTGTTGGCACTCATAGTTGCCTTCATTTGGTTAAGAATCCAAATGCTGAATCGGCGATAAGAGCAGAAATGTACAATGGCTCTGCAACCAGTTGACACAGAACAAGCATCGGAAATTATGCATACGAGTTCATTGGACCGGAAACTGACCAAGCAAACTAAAACTAAGAATACATATCTAAGTAATGGGCATACCCGAGACTATGAACAGCACGTATGCCCGCCACACATCGATTCTCTAAAGAATGGTGTATTATGTGCATGAATAAGACTCGTTCCCGTTCAGGTGAGTAATGGCATATTTGCATGACTAGGTTGAGTCACAGGATCTTTTATCAATGGCGTCAAAGATTCCATGATACTAGCAAATGAAGGTCGTTTCCAGGGTTCGCTGCAGCATGAATTTGTTATTAGAGAAAACAGGGAAATTTTTATATGTAAGTCAGTTTAATTTATTGAATTAGAGTCTCAAACTCACTTAGCCCAGCAAGCCTCAATTATAGCCGCCACACTGTGGATTCACATCATGCGGAATGTCCAGCCTTTTGTTATAAACCGCAACAGCTGAGACAACCTACGGAACATAGAATAGAAAGGCTACGTGTCATCAGGTCTAAAAGATATTCCGCATTTCCCTTTTCTAATCTACAGAGCATAATCATCATAACACAAACCTGCAGTGGATTTAAATTACCCCACGGCCGTTGCAATGTTGCGAGTTCCCACAATATTACACCGTAACTGTAAACATCTGACTTCTCATTTGACGGTTCATTACGCAGGACTTCTGGTGCCATCCATTCAGCCTAAAGAAAATAGAGGGGAATTTTCAACCACCTTATAATTGAAACTTCCAGGTTGTTTGTCTAGTTAAAAAAACTTACAGTCCCAGCAGCTGATTTTGGGGAAAGGAACGTGCTTGCCTTCGAACGGGAAAGACCAAAATCACCAACCTAAACCACAAAACAGGTAAGAAAAATGGTGTAAACGATGCAGTAAATAAACAAATATTGGCGCACTTAGTCATGTTCATTTTCAAATACATAACTTATAGTCGAGCACGACCCACTGAAAATTAAACTCCTGTGAGCCTAGAGAAATCATGTAGCAGTTTGATCATTCACCAAGCTCAGTAACCAGTTAAATGAAAATCAATGGTCCATTCCAAGCGCTTAAGGCATAAGCAAACTAAATGCTGTAGGAGATCCTTACCTTCACTGTATAATGTTTGTCTACCAACAGATTTAGAGATTTTAAATCACGATGAACAATGGGAGGTTTGTGTCTATGAAGATAATTCATTCCCCTTGCCTGTGAAAAATTTCAGATCATGTACAAGCACACAGTGAATAGAAACTAAAATATAAAAACTGAAAAGGAAGAATAAGATGCTACAGAAGAATAAGAAGTCTTCATATACACACCACATCATGAGCCATTTTCAAGCGGCTGTTCTCATCCAATGCCTCCCTTGCGCCAGGTTTCTGCAAAAGCGTAAACAAGCTACCTCTGCAATTAAGAGCCAACAATTCAGATCATTAAAGACTTTGAAAAAAAAAAAAAAAATCTCTTAACATGGTATAAATGTCTAATACATATGAAAGTTCCTATTGTGGGGATGGCAGTGTGGGGCGGTGTACAAAAAGAGGACATCACAAAACCTTGATAAATATTCCGTGACTATGGACAAGTTTGGGGGCTTGGTAACTGCACCCATAAAGAGAACAATGTTTGGATGCCGCAGGTCCTTCATTATAGTAACCTATCAAACAAAAGAAGGTGAAGCTTATCTCAAATTCAAGACGAAGAAAGTACACTGGAACCAATTATGTACTTAAATTCAATGCGTCCAAACATTCTGCCATCATGTACCTCACTCAAAAATTCTTTAAAGCGTTCTTCATGTAAATCTTGCTCCATAAGAATCTTTACAGCAACATCCTTAAATGTACAACTTTTTATCAGTATTATGAATAAATGGCTATACAAGAAGTTATGAGGGCAGAGTGTAAACAGATTAGGTGCTTACAGAGCCATGCCAATCAGCACGATGAACAGTTCCAAAAGAACCTGCAAATGAACAATACCATTTTTTACAGCCTCAAACTAACTAATATGAACTGCATTACGTACATGAAGGGCATATGAGCTCTTCATGTTCATGATATTACATAAGCTTTCATGTTTGTAACATTAATGGAAGGAAACTGGAGGGTAAGATACCTGCACCAATTTTCTCTTTTAATACGAGATCACTCCATGGGATGTCCAAATTCCCTACGTTGAGTGCGAGCCCTTTACTTGGTTTACTAGGAACCAGTCGAACACCCTCAACAAACCTAGAGTTTGTAACTGTATCCACCTTTGGGCGATCTCTATGCCCTACAGGCAGCATACGTGTTAGAGGGATTGGAACATTTACCATGGGTGGTGTGTGCACAATATTCTGAGAACGATTAAACAATTGGGGATTTCTATCATCACCACTTGTCTCAGGAATTTTTGCATGTGCAGAGGTGTAGCCACTGAAACTTGAAAAAAGGTTTTTTCCCTCTGTACTCTTCCTATCAAATTGTTTAGGATACATATTGTCCTCATCAACAGCACTTCCTGTGATGATAGAAAGCACCATGGGTGAATTAGAATCGTCATGACAGATGAATGCCAATTTACCAGACAAAGTATAGACAAGACCACAACATAGTTATACCTTGAATTATAGGTACAGGTTTAACAGATAATGAAAATCCAAAAGAGATGATGATGATGAATACTAATTTACAGTTCAATGTAAACATAACCACAACATAGTTATTGCTAGAATTCTACATGCCAAGGGTGAATAGATGAGGAAATTTGGAGTTGTATTAATAGATAACGTTTTATACGATCCCAATGTAAATATGACTGGCATACCCATTACTTGAACCATGTGCAAAGGCATAACAGAAAATAAAGCTCACTTATTTGCAACTAGATCATCAACATTCAATTTTCCATTCTAAAAATTTCAAAACCATCTGCAGTTATCTGACATTAATATGCATCTATCCTAACCCCAAAGAATCAATAAAGAGCTAAATGAGGTCAAACTAAATAAAGCATCAGCACACCATATAATTGTTTTGAGGTCCTACTTTCAGGCAGAGGGTATCATAGAAAGTTCTTGTATGTAGCATAAGACACCTCCAAGTTATTGTTACTAGGGAAGGCGTGCTTGCATTAATCTCAGGCAACTAAAATTTAGAATAAATAAGATTATTTATTGTGGAAGAGCCTGTACAGTAGATTTATTAAATGTATGTGTCAAAGCATGCATGGAAATGTGTGTATGCGTGTCCATAGAGACAGTCACAACTGTGTCTGCATATATTATTACAGGTTCTGCAATTGTAATCATAATATAAGTAATGCATCGAACCATATTCCAAGTTTTCTTTTAGGATTTTCTGGATCAAAGTATCTGCAATTCTACACCATACTGTACCTGCATCCTATAATTATGTCTATTCCTAATTGTGTTTATTCAAGAACAGATTGTCATAAAACAAATCAGCAACGACCACATATGACACCATTTCTCTGTATATATGTCTATATGATCAGCATTTCAGTTTTTTTTTTAATTTTTTGTAAATACATACATACATACATACATATCATTGCTTTTACAATCAAACAATTACCTGCAGAAGATTCATCAAAAACAAGATTAAGCGATTGACAGTCCGAGAAATACTGATTAGCCAGTAACCTGAAATCAATGGTAGGTTCAACTGGCTTTTGTCTTGGAAAGCGCAGTGGTGAAGAAATTGAGATGGATGATGGGCCATTGAGCAAGGAATCAGGCTCGCACAAGTAACCTGGATTTGCAATCAAATCAACTAAATACTCCCTGAAGTGAAACAAAGACACCATATCAGATGTCTCCACCAGTTTGATAACAAGGAAATTAAATTTGGGACACTCTTGATTCTCCAAATAGAGAAATATTCTCTCCAACTCTAATTTGACCATGCTCGTTTTCCTATATAATTTTTTTAACACAAAGGAGGAAGGCAGTGCAAAGCAGGCTCGACGGCTTGTTCAGGAAGGTGGCAATGACTGATGAACGACAGAAAACCAAAGGTATAGACAAAGAAATTCAAACAAATACAAATATGATGAATAACTTTTTACCAAAGCATAACTCGAATAATTTTTGCAGTTATGCACCAGGCAGCTCTAAAAGTAAACAGCGTTACCAATTCGAACTATTGATAAACACAAAAGTTCAAAAATAATAGCATACCTGTCCTGCTCAAACCGGACAAGACAAGAGGAGGCATCATCCCTTGTACAATATTTACAGCCTTTGGCAATTCGACAAGGTAAACCAATTGTATCAGCCAGAACCTTCAAAGATAGACATGGAGCTTGTTAGTAGTATCATATTGTAATCAAATGAATAAAGAATAATATTAACTTATGAATCAGACGAACTATAATTAACAGATAAAGATTGCCATTAGTATATAGGAACTGTTATTAACACTCCAAAAATCTCAATTTGCACTCCTCACAAGTGTATTTTTCTTTCTAAATATAGAAAAATTGGAGTGCCAACTGAGAGTTTTGGAATGCCAATAACAATTCCGTTAGTATATAAGTCAAGGGTTAAATTCTCTCTGTCCTTATCAAACTAAGCCTTCAAACCGAAAACACAAAAAAAAAAAAAAAAAGTTTTATTTATTATCAAATAAAAGAGAACAATTCTCTCTTTTCATGAAAAACATAGCTCTAACATACAAATTATCAAGTTAAATAGACTTCTTTCAAGGTAAGTAAATATATCAAATCATACAGGCTCCTTACTTTGAATAATAAAGCACGATGTCTACATAGGCCAACAGAAAGGCTGCCTATTGGAACAACTACAGATCCGCAATCTTTCAGATCATCACTGCTCTCCCTCCATATGGACAATATTTCATCCTCTCCTACGGAAGCTGAACCCCTTGTGATAGCAACAAAATTCAGTTACATGTGAATGGCAGACATAGATGTCCTAGACAGATGTGGACAGAAGATACAGAAAACTTACCCCATGCGACTGCATACAAGTTTTGCCATCTGATCTACAATCTCTTTCATAGTTATGCAAGTACGAGAAATGGTTAAAACCCTATTTTGGAGCTCCTTTAGACTGGGATCGCTACGTCGATCAATTAAAACCACTTCAATACTTGAACCAATGCCAGGATCAACAGACCTTAATGAATCAATTGATGGTATACGACCATTTTCTTGCAGATCAGTGCACACAGTCCATACATACTGATCTATTCCATGAATTAGGTAAAATCCATCAGGCACTTTGTCAAAGTACGACAGGCAGCCATTCACCTGTTGCACATCATATCAATACGATAGGATTAATTCATCTATCACCACAAAACATAAACCATTTGTAAGAACGAAGTTGTTCAAAATCATTTCTAAACTCCATTATCTTTCTGAGAAATTTTGGGTTGGAAGAAAGAAAATGGAATAAATAATCTCTTTTTAGATATCTGACATGTAACGTTATTAGGTTGTAAATTTGACGAATAACATGATTTCACTTGATCCAGTCAGGCAACATAGCATACCATACTGTCTTACAAGAGAAAACTACTCCCTGCATACCTATATACATGTATAAACATAAGTGTATTACGGTTATAGCTATTACATAAACCTAACTTCCATAAAAAACGATTGTACTAAGTGAGTCCTGATTCATTGGCAACTTCAAAATCCCAGTTACTGTACGGTTAGACCCAAAATGCATCATATTACTGATTTCCATTACTGATTATCTTCTCTTTCATAACATTTTTGTGAATCCGGTAGATCAGTTTTACTTTTAACGATGTTATCTAGATCCGCTCAAAAACAGAGCTGCAATCTGACATAGGATCAAACAGTATGTCAGTATATACAACACCATTTTTTAAGAAATAGAATGCATAATATAATGTCAGAATTGCCCCATTTTTTGTTAACATGAGGTCATACATTGTTCAGTGATCAATTGCTCGCTCAACCAATACGCTAGATTGTAAATGGAATCTAGTTCAATCAGAAATATTGCTTTCTTGTTTGATGTGGAGCGTGTGGAAGAATGAAATAATAGGATATTTGAGATAAAGGTTAGTTTTTCAAACCTGGTATTTAGAAATCCCACATGTCATTCGTACACGCAATGGAAATTTAATTCAAGCTATGTAAATGTAGAGCAATAATGAGATAATGCAGCTTGTGAATTCAAATTCCATGAAGAAATGCATAATGTTTTCACAAAAATATTCAGAAATCGCTCCGGCCATTCCATTGATAACTAACCATTCTATAACATATTTCACACACTGAGCAAAGAACTCAGCTCTAGAGAACGAGACCGACTCAATTAACAAAGCAAGGCAGCAAACCATGCAACTAATGAAACATGGTCTCAGAAGCAGAATAAACCTTACCCAAAACCGATGCGAAATGGCAACAACGGAGCCCCATGTCCTAGACATTGAATCATCGAGCACTGCATCCAAGAAGTTAGGATCATCGGCGCATGTGGCCTCCGATGAGAGCCGAAGAGCCAAAGCCAGCTGCAGCTGATAACTCTCCTCAGTCTGCTGAGCCCAGCTCTTCCAGGAAGACGAGTCGCCGCCACAGCTACCGCTGGTGGTCGCAACAGCTCCATCCACACTCTTCATTCGAAATTCACCCCCTACACCACTAACCTTGAACACATCGTCCAGCACGTACCCGAACCCGCTCGACTGCCTCTGCAACCAGGCCGACGAGTACGGGTTCCCGGCACGAATCGCTTGCTGATTCGCCCGGTAATCGGCTCCGGTTACCCAATCGAGCCCTCTGTCGCATTTCCCCTTGTTCTTGCTCTCCGTCTCGTAAAACGCCGCTGTCTGGTCGTCGGGGTCTTGGCTCAGAAGCTTGTAGTTGGATCTCCTACCGGGCATTTCCATCGAGAATTGGGACAAATCAGTTCGTCAGAAAACCCTAGAAATTCTTAAACCCGTCATCGTTCAAAAAAATTGAAGTCTGAGGACTCAGAGGACTCTACAGAGAAGGTCTGAGTTTCTCTCTCTAGAACTTCCACTGTCGGAGTGAGAAAAAGCGAAAGCGACAGTGAGGTTTCATTCGGTGGCGTCATCGTAATTAATATTATTCTTTTAATTTAATTTATATCTTTTTTTATTTAATTAAAATCATTTTTTTCCTTCACACGCGCTCGACTCGAATAATTTTATTCTTTCCTTTTGTCCGCGATTAAGACTTGTTTAATGGGGGTTTTGGGGATAATAAATTATAGGGTTATGACAGTTGGCAGTTGGGTAGTGAATCTAGTGATTTTATCAGCTTTATTTAGGTTGAGGTACATGCATTATTTTTAAATTTTTTTAAGTTGGGTTCAATTCTATGCATGCATCTTGTCAGTTTCTTTTGTTATTATGGTTTTCTTTAATTGAATTTGCTTGTTATTTTTTAATGGAAAATTATCCCCGAATGATTCTTGTTATGAGATTCTAGGGATTTCGTGATCATAATCGTTTATTGTACATCGTGCGGTTAATTTTCGTTAGATATTATTTATATTTAATTTTAAATTTTAAATTTTGAAATAATTTCTGATCGCACAATGTACGATAAACGGTCACGATTATAAGATCCCTAAGGAAAAGGATGAGGATCATTTTCCTTTCTTAATGATCTATTAGTTATAACTCGAAAAAAAGCGATTAAAGTCCTCGCCGCTCTGCATATCTCAATCAAGAAACGACACTTGGAACCACACAATTTGTAGTGTATATGACAAACACTGAGCAGCTAGCCAAGTGCATAGCGAATAGTGGTGTGATTCAGATTTTCAACGAATCAGGTCCAAACCACTATGAGCTTCCCGACAAATCTTAGGAAAGAAAGACATGATAGTAAAGGCTTGGTTGCTAGAAACAACAACGACGTAGGTTGCTAGAAACAACGATGACATAGGTTTATGAGAAAATGTGGCCGCTTCTTCTTTAATCCTGAAATATTTGCAATTTAATGTAATTATTTGCATTCCTTCCCTTCTAAGCGTTCTTATTCTTTATTGTGATAATAATAGTGTAAATTTGTGTTACTAATCCAAATGTTATAATATATGTTTGTAGTGAGTGGAGGTCATGTGACAAGTGCTATACCCACATAGAGTATTGGTAAAAACTAATAATATGTTCATTCACAAAGAATATAATGGAAAAGAATGAGTATCATTCTTGTTCACGTGTTCACTAACAACTCAAATAATGAAAAAATAAGCGAGTCTCATAGGTTTTGGGTATGGCCTACCTGAAAAATGAAGGGATCTCATTAACATAGAGTGTGGTTGTTACTCATTCCTCGTACACTATCACGCCTATTCCTTCTCATCCACGTACCATGTAAGTAAACATACCCAAAGTCGTTGCCTCATAAGTACTCTTAGAGCAACTCCACCGTGGTGGATTGCTCAGGGGACAGGCCAGAGAAAAGGGGTCGAGGCCTTGTGGATTCGCTCCAACGTGAAGGAGCCCAAGTGGAGGTGGAGGCCCGAGTTCCGGGCCTGTGAAGAATTGCCAGTCCGAGAGCCCGAGTGGATGTGACGCTAGCGCTGACGTCAGCCCGGTGTCAGGCCTTTTTTTATTTTTTTTTTGTCAGGCGTGTGCACCCCACTCGCGCGTGAGGGTGCGTTGCCTGACATATTTTCAAAAAAATCAGCCCACTTTTCAAACTGAAATGTTACCATTAGGAAGCCATGTTGCTTCCCACGGTGCGTTCGATCTCAACGGCTCTTTAAAATGGGTCGTCCGATATGCAATGGTAATAAAAAAATTGATTTAATATCAACCGTTTGATATGAGATCAACGGTTGATATTAATCTGTTTTATAAATAAAAAAAATAAAAGAAAAAATAGTTTTAAAATTAAGAAAAGTTACCGTTGTGACACGTGGCACAATCTGATTCGTCATCTTTCCTTCTACGCTCTTCATCCTCTTCCCTCTCATTTTGCCACCTGGAGATTGAACATTCCTTCTGATTGGTCAAACAATTCTTCCTCTTTCTGATCGAGTTCCTGCATCATCCTTGAGGAAGAAGAAGACATTGTAAGAAAGAAGTAGAAACTATGAATAATGATAGAAATTTTTGTGAAGAATGAAGTAGAAACTATGAATAATGATAGAGATCTTGAGAAAATTAGTGTGAGATTTGTGAGGATGGATAGTGGATTATATGGAGAATTCAGAAATGATTAGGTTGTAGATAATGTCACGTGGCATGCTGTCATTCATTAAAAATCTGATGGAAATCTATCCTTAAAGATTGTAAACAGATTATGACACGTAGCGCGACATGATTGGTTAATAATCTTATCAGAAATCCATCACCAATAATTGTATTTTCGGATAATGACACATGGTATGCCGTCATTCGTTAAAAATCTGATGGAAATCTATCCTCAAATATTGTAAACAGATTATGACACGTGACGCAACGTGATTGGTTAATAATCTTATCAGAAATCCATTACCAATAATTGTATTTTCGGATAATGACACGTGACACAACAAGTACGATTAAAAATCTTATCGGAAATCCATCCCCAATAATTGTCTTTTCGGATTTTATGTCAAGTGACGCAACGAGAACGATTAAAAATCTTATCCAAAATTACAAATAAAATTATTTTGCATTATTTAATAATACTTCGGATAATGACACGTGGCGCAACGAGAACGATTAAAAATCTTATCCGAAATTACAATAAAATTATTTTGTATTATTTTATAAATAAAAAATACTAATATTTTATTACCTATTGCCAGTGCTATTGAAGTGCAACAGTAGAGATGCAAAAGGCGATTACTGTTCATTAAGGGCAGTTACTATTCATTAGGTGGATAGCATAGTGTATTGCCTGGGGGGAGGTTTCACACGTTGGAGTTGCTCTTATGATCAATTGTATTCGTACGCAAGAATTCCGACATACAAGACTTGCATCTCATCGATGGCCGAAAAATACAACAATACTAAAATTTGGTTACACGAGAGAATCTCTCCTACCAACCGCTGCAATTGCACCAGTACTGCTCTGCTAAAAAAATTTGAGAATTAAAGGACCATATATTGCAGTACACAACTACCATTCAAACTGATCAGAAAAATTTTCTTCTGATATGTGGAGTGGAAACATATTTAGGACCGAAGCAGAAAGTGATCACAACCTGAAACCAAGTAATCAATCCCAATTACAACTGCAGATTCGTTTCGCCTGGTTCCACATACCAAAACACATTACATGCACCTGCCTAATTCTACAGTAGTACGGTGCAAATCAAATTTTGCCTAGTAAACGGTCTTTCACAAAACCGTCAATCACATCAATTTCAGCCATTGCACCATTCTTTGTACGAGGAAGGATAAGTTTAACTCCGAGTTCATCCCTAATCGTCTTCAAATGTTTCTCTGTGAAAGGATTGTTCCACATCATGGCGTTCATGGCCGGTGCAACATATAAAGGCTTGTTGTGATCCCATGCATATACAACTGAGGAGAGTAGATTGTCACACAATCCCCGGGCAATCTGCAATAATACAGGAGATTATCGATTAAAATACAAATTTTACACATGAAACCAGATAATAAATCAAAGAAACAAAGTTCATGTGAAAAACCAGTAACGAAGAATTCAAGATTGTTAAACATTTACCTTGGCTAGTGTGTTTGCTGACAATGGGGCAATAACCATTATATCAGCCCAATGGCGAAGATAAATGGGACACGCACTATCATATTCTGTGTTCCATCTGGACAATTCTTCTTCGTCGGTGTAGAGTATTACATCCTTGGGGAGTGATGCTCTATCGATGAAATGAAATAATGCACTTGTGGCAATTGCTCTTACTTCTGACCATCCAGAGAAACTATGGCAGAGGTGAGCAAACTTTATGGCAGCTACACTCCCGCTAGCAGCGAGTAGAATCCGTGGCTTCCTCAGAGAATTGTCTTGTAGTGCATCCAATGCAGCAACCCTGTTGAATTTGTGAGCGTAAAAGAGTCTTACAGTGGAGTTGATTGTAGAAGGCTCAGCCATTTCACCACGGATAGGTGGGATGAGTGAAATTCCTAGGTTATCAATAGACATCACATGTAGCTCGGTGAAGGGATTGCTCCACATCAAGGCGTTCATGGCTGGCGCAACAAACAAAGGCTTTTTCCAGTCCCATGCATTTACAAGACAGGTGAGTAGATTGTCACACAATCTCTCAGCAATCTACAAAAGCATGGGACGTTTATTTAAAATATAGAAGATATAAAGAAGTAAAAAGTATAGATTTCATACATGAAATTAACCTGACAACATAGAAAACAAGGAAACAATTTTAAGTAATGATATTTCCAGATAATATGAAATATCACCTTGCCTAGTGTGTTTGCTGACAATGGAGAAATAACCATGATATCAGCCCATTTTTTAAGCTCGATGTGAAGCACGCTATCTCCAATTTTCCTCCAACTGGCCCACTCATCCCCATCAGTGTAAATAATCACATCCTTTGGAAGCGATGCTCGATCAATGAAACACAAAGATGCTCTTGTGGCAACTGCTTTTACTTCCGCCCATTGAGAAAAAATCTGGCAGAGGCTGACAAACTTTAGGGCAGCTACACTTCCAGTAGTAGCAAGTAAAATCCGAGGCTTCCTCATAGCATCACTGCTTTGCACTGGCTCCTCTCTGCTACTGCTATTCCCAGGTTCATTGCCAGCCACCGCTTCAAAAGATGCCATCAAATTCTTCATCCTATATTCACACAAGATATCAAGACCTAAACCATTGAAGCTATTCTCATGTGCACAGCTAGGATTGATCCCAGAAAACCGAAAAAAAAAAAAAAGGCAGGAGAAAAATAAAACTAGACTCAAGAAGGCCACATCTTGTCATGCTCAACCCTTACGAACATTTTATCCCAGTCAAGCACATTGAGGGCCAATTCAAGCCAACTCTAAAAATTTAAAACTTTGATCGAAACACGACAACCTTCTAAATTTCTCCAAAACAAGAAACAATTCAATGGAAAAGAAAAAGGAAAACCGGGAAAATCTATCTATACCAAGGTCCAAGAACAACATTTTTACCTCGTGATTATTCGTGAACTTAGAGTGGAAATTTATAGAATGGGTTGGTTCTACATCTATCTAAGTCCATATTCTTACCGAAAAAAACTAGAAAGTTGCAATCTTTAGAAAACCCATTAAACAATTCAATGAATAAACACAAGAAAACTACTAAACTTGCTGATTTCTTCAATGGTTTGAAAAGACATGAAGAAATATAAACATTTTCTGGAGAATGAAAGAAAATTGTGTAAGCCCTTAAGGATATCTTGCAGAATTTCTAAAGCTTCTGAAAAACTGACCGTTCTTTCCGCCTGAGTGTGCCGCGAAGATGAAAGGGTATTTCTTGCTGATCTTGAATGAAGCCTCTGCCTCTATCTTTTCTCTCAGCGACATTCTATCAAACACCTTCGGTGCACTTATATAATCCCTCCCTTTTGCCTCCCGCTCGATCCCAGCAACTAACGACTAACTGACTTGCTGACGTGGCCTGTTTGAAGTCTAGTTCTGGTTCAGCTATGAAATCTATGACTGATTGCCGGACGACGTCGTATCGGGATCGGAGTGGCGGGGTTCGGGGTGTGATGGTATTTTACAGGAGAAATATGTGATTGAATAAGCCGTTGCGATCCGAGGCCTTTGAGGCTTCCATCTTACAAAACTCAACTATCAAGATCAAGTTGTGGCCAGGGGTGACTCTGTGGGTCCGAAAATGATGGATAACTGCAACTTGTAGTTCTTCTTAAAAAAAATAAAAAATAAAATAAAAAGAACTATCAAGGTCAAGTGCATGGGTGAGGGCAAATTTGTCCATATCTTTTAAAGGACTAATACGAATTTATATTTATAGGAAGATGATCATCTCCAGATTCACTTTGTAGAGATTTTAAGGCTCTTCACATCCCAATCGTTCATAATATATAGTGCGGTCAGTTTTCGTCAGGTATCATTTTTGTTTAATTTTAAATAAAAAAAGTCGAATGATTTCTAACTGCACGATGTACGATGAATTATTAAGATGTGATGATCCCCGCAATTTGGATCCGGAAGGGATCCAAATCCATATTTATATACATAATTTTCAAATTAGCTTATTCGTTGTTTTGATCTGTCTGTTGACACATAATTGGCGAATCAGTATGTTCAATTCTTACTAGATGCACTTATTGTATTAGCTTGTTCGTTGCTTTGATCTGTCTGTTAACACATAATCGACAAATTCGTAAGTTCAATTCTTATTGGATGCACGTCAATAAGACACTCAAATAAAGTCATCTCTAATCGAAGGAAGACCAAAGGGCTTCTTTTAGCCTTATAACCCTCCAAGAAATTAATATTTTAATGAACAATGTCAGGTCATATTTCTTACCATCTCCAATCGAGGGGCCAAAGGGTCATAGGCCAAACATAGCCCTGTGACAAAAAACCATCTCCAACCAAGAGGGGCAAAGGGTCATAAGCTAAATATAATTTATTATTTTAATTGAATTAATATGGTTACTTAAATTAAACTACCTCAATAATCATCTTCTAATGTGACGTAAAATAATGTAACATGCTTCATTGAACTAGACATAATTACTATAAATATTTTTTAGTAATATCCAAAAGAAATGGACCATTGATATAGGAATTGGATCCTCTCGTGAGCTTGGGCTCAGGGGTCTCCAAACCAATACACAAGGGCCTCTTACACACCAAGCATTTGTCTTGGTATTTTATTATATTAATATTTAAACAACATCTTAAACATGAATATTTTAATAGAATTAGTGACCGATTAGGTTATAACAACATAAAAACAAGCAGATAATGCTAGAGAGATTAAATTTGTAAACAAAATTTAAAAAGTTAAATGACATAAAAGATGATGATTAGACAATTACTTAAGTGTTGATAATGTTTACAAATTTAATATCCGTAACATTACTCTTCTTTTTCAAGAGAGGTAAAGTCCATGCCCCTATTTTTCTTGTATTTTTATTTTTAAGAGGGATAAGGTGTATGTCCCGCTTTTTTTCTTGTATTTTGTTTATCTTGTTCTATGAAGAGTAAAATTTATGTCTCTTATAACTAAATGTAATTTCTTTTATCATATCAATAAATTTATCTCGTTTCGTCGAAGTTTAAAAAAAAATATGATGGTTCCCTCAAAGCGATATCGCTATCTCAATAGAAAAGAAAGTTGACAGCAAACAGCCACGGCCATCAAAAATTACTACCTTGCTGATTGAAGTACAAATGAAGTTACAATTTATGTTTCAAAACTGAACTAGACTCAAATATGTTGTCTTTAAGCTGACTTGGTTCCCTTCTCGGTGGTTTCACTTGCCTTGCTGTAATTGATGCGTCCAGTAAAAGGATATATCTGTAAAAAAATAAATTAAAATTAAGATCGTTTAGTTAATTTATTGTAACAAATACATAGACGGTTCATAATTCTTTTAACAATATCATTCATTTGTTTTTAAATTGTTTGATAACTAAACGACCTTAGTTTTAATTGATTTTTCGCAGAGACGATCTTTATATGATGATTTATAGTATGAACGGTTCTGATTATAAAGACGAAGTTCTATAAATTAACAACGAACAATTTTAAGAAATTTTGAGTGAGAGTTCCTACGTATCTTTAAGTAGTCAAATATTGTTCTTCGGACAAAGAAGCCACTTTCATTTCAAGTCCTATTTTCTCATCTTCAAAAGATTTTAGGAAGGATTTTCTTTTTCATAATTTTTTATTCATCATTTTTCTTTGATTTATTCAATCCAAATGTTAGAAACAAACAAGATATGCAAGGGAAGCAAAATGGTGTGCGAAAATCAATTTTTTAAAAACATTATCCAAGTGGTCCATAAATAAATAAATGAGTTTGCTGATAAACTGCAATTTCTCAATCCATAACTCAAAACATTTCTGAAATTTAACAAAAGAAAATATTCTAAAAATTTTCAGGAAAAATAAATAAAACAAGTAAACAATACCTCAACTCCTCCTGAAGCTCCTCCTCCACCGTATCTGCCGTCACTGTCTGGCCTTGTGAAGCCAAAGGTCCGAACTTGACGAACTGGAGGGACAGCAAGTGAGAGAACCAGAGGGAGCTTAGAGTGAGAAAAGGCCTGCTGCTGCTGCTGGTTTGACTTAGCCGAAAAGGTATTTTAGAGTTGGGCGAGCCGGCAGAGGGCAGCGGTGCAATTGGCTATGATGGGATTATGAGTTATGACATTCTTTCTTTCTTTCTTTTTTCCTTTTTTTTTTTTTTTTCCGGTGAATACACATAAAAAAAGTTATTAGAAGATTGACAAATTTTTCTCGGAAAGGTTAAAATAATTTTCACGACGGGATCATTTTTATTGATTTTTATTATCAAGACTAAAGTAAGAGTTATCCTAATCTCAAATACCACTTTAGCTCCTTTAACTTATAACGATGAGATGTTTTTCACTTAATTATCTTTACTTCTATACTTTGATATTAGTCTTAGATTAGACTAGATTATTAGATTGTGATGACTAGATGACATTAAAATGATATTAGCCAATCATATTTTTCCCACGTCAACATTAGTTATTGGGGTGTGATATCCACACACTTTTTTTTATTTCTCACACATCTATACTTAATTTATGTTATTTGATCTCCTTCAATTCATTTGATTCGACGGTCAAAAATTAGTGGGTGTGTGAGAAGTAAAAAGTGGTGTGTGGATAGCACACCCTTAGTAATTTACTTAAGAAAACAAAATATAAGAAACAAAAATGGATAAGTAAAACAAGCCACACCACATCAAGAATTCTTGAACTCCACCCACCGCAAGGGTGGATGTAAATTGGAACCAAAGTGGTCCTAGGACCAGTCGGAAGGTGGAAAACACGCATATGAAGGTCCTCTGAAGATCTTTCGATTGTTTGGTACACATATCTCGACATGCTGCATCAACATTACTCGACATATATTCTTGATAGCATTCATCAGATTACTTCAGCATATATCGTAACTTGTTGACAAAATTGGCAACATGGCTTGGTTTCGTCAATAAACCTACTAAGTATTCGACGAAATGCCTCAGTTGAATAAAATGATTTTTTTTTAATGCGCTTTGCGCTTTGTTTCTTTAAAAAATGTGAACCTTTAATGTTGGGACGCCCAAGTTTCGAATCTTGGATCCCCCATTGCCCACACGCATCCCTTACGGTGGAGCCGAATTGACTAAATCAACTCACCTTCTAGCTTTACCCTTTATTCATCGCATCTCTTTTCTCCCTTTTTTTCTCTATCATAGTCTCTAATTTCCTCGTGACTGTGAGCCGTTCTCGATCCGAATCTAGCAAGTTTCGTGCCATCGTTTTACAACTGGGGTTTTCGGGTGGCGGTGAACCCATTTTATATGAGTCTACTTAAAATAAAATTTATCAACTCAATCAATCGTCCATCATATTATCACATGTGTTGTAATCTTGTGTTCCTTCCGATAAACATAAAAATTAGTTTTAAAAATTACTTGAAAGCATTCTTAGTCAGTCTGTCTTATTTTATTTTATTTTCATAGAAAAGCTTTCTCAGCACTCTTTTCATTTTCTTTTGTTAAGGATCTATATTTTCTTAGGTATACGCAATAAAACAAATTCATTTATTGAAAGAAAAATAAAGTCGATAGTAAAAGCAATACATTACTCACTGTTCACACAAAACAAGGAAATTGTGGAATCAAAAGCAACAAAAGAAATCACCAAAGGTTACAACATAGCATCCAAACAAATTCTAAATGCTCAACACTGGCAACTAGCTCTTAGTATAGTTGCATTTTATTTTCCGACATTTGAAAGATATTTATAGTTTGAATCTCCAATGACTTAGGGAAGCAAACCTTTTATTTATTAAGTAATTATAGAGAAGGATTAGACGAGATTTACCTTTCAGTAATGGTCTAATGCAGAGAAGCATATGCAAGCAGGTCCTCGTTGGTTTCAATCATGACCATATCTTCTTTTTTCAGTGTCATGTATGCATCGATGCCAATGCCATCACTTGCATCCAACAATAACATTCTGTTTTTGAAATCTTCATTCCAAGGGATGCGTATGCATGATGCCTTTCCCCATCCAAAATCGGCCGAGCCGAAAGGAAACCTACACAAACTGGTGCAAATATAGTTGTCCATATCATCCTTTTGAACGAGCTCACTATGCTCCTTCAGGAATTGAACTACTTCCTCCCCTCTAATTTCATTGGCATATTTTACCTTAAATTCCTCAACGCTTTTCCTCATTTTTGCAACCAAGGTTTGAATAAGATCATATTCTTCATTTTCTTCAATCTTCGGCAAGGTAGAAAACACAAAATTTCCTTGTAAGTTTTCTGCGAAGGGCTGAGCCAATATTTTCCTCAGGTTCACAAAGGACCGCCATATGGATGGCCTTGCAAAACCCAAGTTCGATCTTGATGCTTCCAATGCGGATTTCCAAATGAGCGCGGAAACTGCTTCAACTCATGTCGGATTTGGCACTGTTGCACTGGCAGCTTTGGCCTTGAGAGCAGCAATCTTTGAGGCATCAAACACAAGCCTCCTTCCGATAACATTGTCAATAAAAGGTAGCGTGAGGGGGGTCTTCTTAAAAATTTTTGTGGTGGGAAGAAAGTAGCTGCAACACCAAATTCTGTAGGAAGCACTTACTACGTGATGGTCAGTAGTGCTGGCAGTGCAGCGGGCAATTTCAGCCCAGCTTTCAATGAATTTGCTGTTCGCTAAGGCATCGGCGACTTTGTGCGAAATGCTGACGCCAATTGCCAATCCACCACATTCGAATACGTTGGCCTGGACTAGTACAAGATGCCCTACTTGTGCTTGTTTGGAACGCATAGGAGTTGGAATCAGTTGTCTCAGGATCTCAGAATCTCAGAATCGGGTTTGTCCAGGATCTTGGACATGGGACAGTTGACTTGGGCTTCAAGAAATAGAGCTCCGCGGTCATCGCAGTCGATGGAAACGTTATTTTTGAATTCCCCTGCAAAAGGGTAGAAGATAGTGAGGGCCTCAGATAATGATTTCTTTAGAAGCTCGGACTTTTCAGCGACCAAAGAATGTTCATCACTGCTGCTAGGATAGAAGAGAACTTGCGGCATATGCAGTTCAAGTATAAACTGGTCAAAAAGGGAGAGGCACACATGTCTAAGGTGGTGAGGAGTTGGTGAGGATGGTTTAATAATTTGTGAATTACTTCAACCTTGATCATCTTTTTATTTTCTCCAAACTCCTTAGTTACAACTTTGAGTTTGATCAGAACAGATGCTGGAGTTGCTTGGCAGTTGAAAAGCCCAAGGTCAGTCCCCAGGCGATGGATGAGTTGTATAGAACTAACAGAGTGAGGAGTGGGGAAGATGAGAGAGAGAGAGAGAGAGAGAGAGAGAGAGAGAGAGAGAAAGCTGGAGTGTGTGGAGGGTAAGTTTACGGGGAGGTTCCTGAGCTGATGACTGAATGAATAAATTATTGCTGTCTCCGCCCATATGTCCACTCACAGCGGCATGATTGCTGTCTCCACTCAGTGGCACCATTGCTGTTTTCCTATTTTCAGGTTTATGTTTCCACTTAATGGCAAGTTGCTGATTATTGTTCTTTGGCTTTCAGCCTTCGGTCTCTCTATAAGTGTTTTGGGATTGGCTAACTCGAATGCACAACACATATTTTAAACAGCGTGACTGCACTTTCATTTGCTTGAACATGTATGAGTTTTGTTTCTTACTAGAAAATTACGGTGAGATACCGCTAAACTTGATATCTTGATATCCTATAATTATTAGATAATAACTAACAAAACAACATGAATATTTTAATATAATTCAAATACATTGGAAAAATAATTTTAATTTAGTGAATTGACGCATGTCATATTACAAATTCACTCCTATTATATAAGTGTGAACGATAGTGCAATATTGACTTTAAAAAGATATGGGACGACAAACTGATTAAAGTAGCTGCAAGGTAGTAACCAACCAATTCGTAAAATTGTTGAACGCATCATCTACAAGTTATAATTGGCAAATGCTAACCAAATGGAGGCTCAAACTGATTATTTAGTGATTAAATTTTGTACTTCTATATCAATAAGATTGCGGTAGATGGCAATTAGACCTAAAAATCTATTGTGAATAAATCAAGTATATATTCTTCACCAAAAAGAAATGCATAAAAATTCAATACACAATTGTTAAAAAAAAAATCCAATTGTTGCCTGGCACACCCATTCCCTTCCTCTTCTTTCCGTGTTAAGGTCCACATGCTTTTCTTTAAGACCACATATACATTTGACCACCATTTGAAACCAAAAAGAAATTTCATACAAAGCTATAAAAAAGAGAAAAAAACCATGTAAAGCCGACATCTTCCTATTAAACAAACAATTACAAAAGGTATAAAATATACTTACAATACTTTGGACCATTCCCCCCCACTGCGCACCTCCAAAGGCATCTTCAACTCTCAAAACTTTTTGTAATCTCAATGATTTTGTCGAATCCACCGTCAACAAACTATGAAGTCAATTTCCCCCAAGTTTCAGTGAACACCCACCTTGCAAATCGTGTGTAAACCCTAGATTTCTAAACAGCGATTGTGCAAAGGGTATATTGTGTGAAAGTCTTGCTAAATGACTTTTTCTAACCTTAAAGAATTGTAACTTGTTGTGCAAATGGTTTCACTTAACAGAAATATGGATGAAATATATGAAAAACTAAAGGTAGGGGGCAAATCGGCTAAAAAAATTAGTTTGAGTTCTTAATTTTCCAATAGAAAAGTTTGAGAGAAAAATCAAAAGCTAAGTAAAAGTTTAGAAAGTAAATCGATAGTTTACTTAAAAAAAAAGAAAAAAAAAAAGAAAAAAGAAAGAGATCGCATGTGCGCGCGCGTTACACAACTCAATCGAGTAATTCCACAACAGCCTACAGCTCGCCACGTCACGCGTCTCGCTTTAAAATCACAAAAGGAAAGAGATGGGAAATTTGGGAGGGAAACCGAAAAGGAAAATGGCGGTAAGGCGGCAAAGGAGCGTTTCTTTCTCCACTCCCCTTTGTATCTGCGACTGAAGAGAGAGAGAGAGAGAGAGAGCGCTCTTCAGTCTTCGAATCCACGATCCATCTCTTCGCGTCTCGCAAGCATATAAAAATCCGCAGGTACGCTTCGATTCGATACTGTCATGGTCGATTTCCTTTCTCTGCAATCGCATTCGATTTCATATTTTCTGCATCTGCACCTTAATCAGCGTTAGCGAGAGCGCTGTTCAGTCTCCGAATCTACGATCTACATCTCGCGGCTTGCGAGCAGATTCAAATCCGATGGTACGCTTCGATTCGACTTATCGTAGTTGATTTTCTTTCTCTGTAATTGCATTCGGTTTCATTTTTTTGCATCTGCATCTTTTTCGATTTGAAATTTGCTTGCTCATGTTCGATTGTATCGATTTCCAATATGTCACCGTTAATTGATCCGTAGAAGAATCAGAACTTGAGTCCGGTAGTAATACTTAGCATGTTTGTCTGTATAATCTCGAGGCAAAAAAAAAAAGAAAAGAAAAAAAAAAAGAAAATCATATATCTGAAACTTCTCCATTTTAAAATTTGAGGAATTTTCAATTTAGGAGAAATTTTTAAGCATCAGAAGTTTAGGAAATGTTTCATAGATCTGGAACTTCTCGAATTTAACATTTGATGCATTTTTTAAGCGGATATAAGTTTTAAAGTATCAGGAAGTTAGACAATTGTTTAATGATTGGTGGTGAAATAGAGAACAACAAGGTTGGGAGGGATTTGAATGAGGTTTTTGTTGTCGCGAAAATTGAGGAATGAATTTGACAGAAGAAGAAAACTGTTTGGATGAAGAAGGGGGAATGAGAGGACAAAATTAAGATTAAAATTTGAAGAGCCAGTAGTGTTCAGAGAAGAAATCATCTGGAGACAAAAGGCTAAAGAATGAGGGTTTGGGAGGAATGTGAGTATTAGTAAACTCTTCCCCAAATTGTTTAGGTTTTGGCTTCTGTAGAAATCTAAATGATGTTCGTAGAGCTATTTACTCGGTCGCACATTTCTGGAACACTTCTAACAGAGGGATAGATAGAGAAGAACAAGGTGGGAGGGATTTGAATGAGGTTTTTGACGCCACAAAAATGGAGTAGAAGGAGAATTGAGGAACGAATTTGATAGAAGAAGAAAACTATTTGAATCAAGAAGGGAGAGTGAGAGGACAAAATTAGGATTAAAATTTGAAGAGCTAGTAGTGTTAAGAGAAGAAATCGTTTGGAGACAAAAGGCTAAAGAATGAGGTTTTGGGATGAATGTGAGTAAACTCTTCCCCAAATTGCTTAGGCTTTGGCTTCTGGAGGAATCTAATTGACTTGTGAGTGCCGGAGCTTTATGTGAGGATGCCAAGTATTGTCCTAAATCGGAAAGTTAAGAAATTGTGCAAGGGCTTATAAGGAGTTTAATCTCCCGATGTTAATTGGTTTTATGATTGGAACCTCAACTTCCTTCACTTTCATCATTAGGAAATGTAATTTTGATTACACCTGGTTTCTATAGAAGGTGCTCTAGTCCTTCAGGCTTTTCTTTCTTGTAGCAAATATTTAGGAGGGTTTTTAGTTGACTACCGATCTATATCTCTTTTTTCGATCCATTTTTATTTGGTTTGGAAGGCTAAAGCTCCTCCCAGGGTTCGGTTTCGCTTTCTTTCATAAAGTATTGCTCTGGTTGGGTTGATATTTGTGATTCCCTCGAGAGAACAGGGCCCAATGTTTGTCTTTCTTGCCATTGGTGCATGATATGTAGGAGTGAAACTGAAAATGCAGATCACTTTTATTCTTTATTGTCCTATTGAGGAGTGTAGTATTGGTCATGTTTTGGGTACTGTGATTAGAAAGAAGTAGAAGGATTTCTGCTGGATATGGGGGAGGGGTTGGACGTTCTGGAAGGTAAAATCAGATTTATGTCTCCTGTCCCTACCTAATTTCCATCTTTTGCTCATTATTTTGATTTTTTAGGGGGGGTGGGGGGGGGGTTGTGGGGGCGCGCGGGGTGATCTTTGGATACTAAGCTCACAACCTTGAACTAAATTTGCTCAAGAAACTAGCTAGTGTATAAAGCCGCATGGTATCCTGGCCGTTTTTACACAAATGGCTAAATGCCCTCTCAGTTGAGCAAACAACTAAACTAGAACTCGACTCTTTACTACACGAGCCAATTTACAAGTTTTGAATGCTTTGCCACTCAATGTGGGGTATGTGCAGCTCTATAGACTTGCTTTGAAATTTCTAGGTGGCTCAATGTGGGCCATCTGCAGCTCTATAGACTTGCTTTGAGACTTCTGGGTGGCTACTCTTCTCTCTTATCTTTTGTTCTGGCCAACTTGCTGGCTGGGAAGTGCAGTCGGGCCAGTAATGGGCGCGGTGCTCGCGTCTTTTGGTCAAATCCTCTCACGCAGACAAATCCTGCAAAAAACGCCAGCAGCTTTGAGCAAACAGAAATTGCTATGAACTTGCCCAGAGGCAGTTTTTGCCACAAGACCGTGTCAAATAGAAAAATGAAATAAAGCAGATTTTGCTATGAGTTAGCCATAAGATGCTTTAGGTTCCAGTTCGTTGAAAACATAGTCTTTGTACCTGTAGATCCCTTCCTCGGGCAAGTTCAGCATTTGTCATTTGAAGTTAGGAAAGTATAATCTACTAATATCTGAAGATGCAATTAGTAGTGTCTTAGGTAGATGTCAGGAGGAAGATATTACAATATCCTTAGCTCTTTGGGTAAGATGTTAGAAGTTGCAACATTCCAAGGAAGTAGGTCTTATGTCCCTTTCTTACAAGTAATTTATGAATGGGTGCTAGAAATTGCAACATTCCAAGGGAAGTAGGTCTTATGTTCCTTTCTAACAAGTAAGGTTTTGAATGGGTGTATAATTCAACAATAGACTAAGGCCAGTGCATACATATAACCATTTGAACACTGCTAGGATCACACAGAATGGGTAAGTGACATTTTCTCATACCTCTCCAGAAGCATTGCTGAATTTCTGGTGTCGATAACCCTGGCAAGAAGAAGAAGAAGAATATTGAGTGTTTTTGTTAGAAACATTTAAAAACGGATCAAAGGATAATATTTCAGAATCTATACCTTTAAATATTGTTGGTATCGAGGTTCCAAAGTACACGGTTCTCCTATTTAGCTTCCACAACCAAGCTCTTGGAACATCAATTGGGTTAATGCTCGAATCATGGTCGGCAAATACCTACATTGGGCGGTATTTGTTATCAATATCACCCGAACGTGAAACAGATACCTTAACAATGTGAAACACCTTGAGCCGAATGAAACTGTATCTCACCTCATTAACTTGAAAGTAGGTTCCATTAAGTGGAAAGCTCCCTCTCATTGCTGTTCGGCATGGTATCTGTTCATGATCAGAACAAGTAACCACTGATCATTGTTGTCTTTACTTCTATTGGTGTGACAAATGTTTAGTTCTTTTGTATAGCAGTAAAAGTTATACATGGTTAGTTTCGTTTAGCTTATTCTTACCAAGAGAGTCCCTCGGACTGTTTGTGAATTTGCTTCCCGTGAACTGTTGCATGAGAAACATTCCTTATCGTCACACAACTTGCCAAGTTCTTGAGAACTACACCTTTTCTCTGGTGGTTGAATGGAATTTGGAGTTTCACCTGGTATGAACATCAAGGCATTTAGTGGAATTTCCTAGTAAACATATATAAAAAGAGTATAGGTATTAACTATGGGCAGTACCCCCCCAAGAAACGTAGAGATGCTCTATGCCATGTCTCTAGTGTTGATCTTAAACCAGTTTTTATTCGTGGTTCAAATGATGATAGTAGTCACTCTGACATTGGGGACTGTCAGGTTTCATAAGGCTATGCTATCCACTTTGGAAGATTGTTCTAGGCTAAACTCTCAAAAAGGGTTGAGAACTTGGGGGTGAAAGAGGAAAATTAGATAGCCAGATTTAAGAATTAAAGTGGTTGGTTTTTATTGTCGTCTGCATACCTGGAGTCCAAATAGCCAGAAGGTAATTACAGGGGTCATCAGGTTCTCGCTTATCCATATGCAACTGTATTAAGCAAAGCAGATATTAAATTGGGGATAGATACTTATTGGACTCATAGAAACCCAAAGAAGGGGTTGTTAAACAATGTTATTAGATGGATATGTAGATATTACTAACCATTTCTAGAAGAGGGTGCGTATCAGGAAGTTCATAGCTGCATTGTGAAGAACAAGAATCAGTAACATATAAGATGTTTGGCTTTATGTGATAATATTCATCACAATCATCATGGTGTAGAAAGCTGTAGGGCTTTTGTTCCAAATGTTTACCTTTATTTTGGAAGATGTTATGTTTTTTGGATGCACAATCAATATAGTTTTGGACAGAGCGATGTTGTATGATTTTTATTGGATTACTTAATCCATTTAATCCTAGTAATACCAAAATCCTGCATGCAAGATATTTCTTGAATTACTGGAGAGATGGAAGCTCCTACTTACACTTGGTGCTCAGTTCGCAGTCGGCTCACGTTCTTAAGCTTGGGAGTTGGTAAAGATGCAGCTTCTGGTGTCAGAGAGACTAAAGCTTTTGACATGTCACCTTCTTGAAGCTCCATGTTTTTTTCCATATAATTTTGCAAAGTCTGAGTGAACTCTTCAATGTTAAGTTTAATAGTAGGAATTTCTTCAGGATCATCACAGAAGTCCTCAATGTCCTCTGATATCTGTGTACACACTGGCTCTGGTGATGCTGGTTCTTCAATAATAGGTTCACAGTTACCAACTGCAGCTTTTACTTCAGATATCTCGCTTGCTTCCAATTGATGGTATGTTGTAGGTTCACAATGACCAACTGTAGATTTTACTTCTGATTTCTGACTTGCTTCCAATTGCTGGTATGTTGCCTGAGGGAAGGGCAAGGGCATTCTATTATTGTTTCCAGCAGGGTTTGGATGGGTAGTTCTGTCTTCAGTTGCACTCACTATGCTTTGCTCCTCTGGTCCTGGCAGGGCAAGCCTTGCACTGCATCCAACATTCTTTGTAAGTAACAAATCAGATAATCTTACAGTACAGTACGTTCTATGAGAATGTAAAAGGCAGATTTGCAATAGGATATCTGATGTTCCTTGTTCACACTTTTTTATTACATTATAATCTGATTAATGAGACCTTCCATTTTTTGTTCTAACTACGTGCATGCTTACCATTTTTCCCTTTATCTTTTACTTATCAGGCTTAACATCCCAAAGGGATCTAATTGGTGGTGGACAAACAAAATTGTTTTGTTATTTATTGGAACTATAATGGAGATTGGCTTTTAGATGCAAAGGATGGAACAATTGAATTGCAAACCTTGCAAATGCGCTCGCAAAATGCCTACATTCTGCTCTCAGAGGGCATGCATTACAATTCGGCTTGCTTTTAGTGCAGAAGACCTGTGTCAAAGAATGATATTTTATTCGTTCTTAGTCTGCAGGTGAAGACAAATCACTTCACATAAATGATAAGATGGCATACCTTTCCAAATGTTATCATTTGGTAATGCAGCTCGTACCTGTTCACAAATATTGAAATGTTTTTGTCCAGTTAGTATCCAATTTTCATGGAAGAGCAACTCTTCCAAAATCAAGCTTATAAATACAATATAGTGTCCTAATGTGAAGATTTTATCTGATTTTGTGTTTACAATGTTCTTTGGTCAAGCTTGCACAGTCGTGGCCACAAATACTTTTGTATGGATTCCAGCACTGGGTACCTATAAAAGACAGAAAGATCAGCTCCAGTGCCAATTGGATATGCTTTGCAAAAGCAACATGGAGGAGGCTCATAAAACTCACAACTCAAGAAGATGCAACTGCAGTGACTCAGGCAGTGGCTGAAGGGGTACCCATCCAAGCCGTACAGCTATACGTCCAACATTTGTGTCCACCTTCAAAGGTACAACCATATATATTGAGATCTGTTGCATCTATGCTGGTCAGTCATATTTTTAATATGTACTCACCGGAAAAGCAAGATGGTGCAGTGTCAAAAGCCGCACACACTCCACGCTTTTCAGCCCCAATCCACGAAAGCTCAGCAGATACTCTCTATAGACACCACATAGTTATGGAATGCAAACCACATAATCATAATGCATGTTCAGTACATATATAACATGCAAGGTAAGTGATTTAGTTTTAGAGTTTATTTTTTATAATTAGAAATGGGTTGGAATAATTCTGCAAGCTTACTTTGCTTGGTCAGGTGGAACGTCCCTCAACCATTCAAGATTAACACTACCATGTTCTCTGTGCAGTCGGTTAAGGAAATCCTGCACAAAATTTCTCAATCAACTTCAGCTAATCTAAAAGGTCTTCTGTGTGTAATGGGCACACTGAAAAATTTGAGAATAATATTTAATGTTCCTTTTACCTTGATTCGTTCTGCAAGCATATTATTCATTCCCCGCTCCTTGATGGTTTGGGCAATCTCATTAACATCTGCACATCTTACGGCTTCCCAGTCCAAGGAATCCATTGTATTTTCTGTCTTTTCCCTTTTCTTCCCATTTGATTCTGCTTGTTTCCTTAATTTGTCCCAATCTTGCTGATCATTTTTCTCTTTTCCAGCTCTTCTGTTCTTTGTTTTGGAGGTAGCAGCATTTGTACTAGTGAACTCCTTGCTTACTGAATTACTATGCTCATTTAAACCCAACTCTGCTGCCTTCTGCCTAACATCTGTGGTCCCTCCAGAAATGTTCAAGCAACTTTGGTGTATCTTATTGTTTTGCTCCTGAGAATGTATGTCAACATTATTCAAGTTCCCAACCCACCCGAGTTGAGACTGGGCCATATTATTGCCTACCTGAATGTTATTGGACGAATTTCTGGAACATCTTGGTGCTTCTTGAACATTTGCTGTCAGCTTATTATTTATTGCATCTTGACTGGGAGATTCTGCTGTTAGTACACTTCTTTCACTCAGACTGTCTTCACATTTATTTTTGGATGTATAAGAAGACTCGGTTACTTCTGCGAACAAATCAAAGCACTCAACTTGCTGTACTCCTGGGTTGGGGGTTAGATTCAAACAACAGTTACTGGAAGGGTCTAGGGATGCTTCTTCTCTGTTTATCTCACGTCTTTGATCATTATGCTGCATGCATGCAGGTTGGTAACCTCCACAGTTTGATGTATCATGAGAGGACATATGGGTGCCCTTGAGACTGTAATGCAGCATACTTGATTCGGCCCTCTGTAAAAGCTCCACAAATGACGTGGAGTGATCTAAACTGCTGTTTTCACATCTATTAGGTGGATACTCTGTTTCTGAGTTGCTCTCGCATGATCCTGTCTTTTCCACAGTTTGTG